GAGGGATCTGCATGAGGGATCTGCATGAGGGATCTGCATGAGGGATCTGCATGAGGGATCTGCATGAGGGATCTGCATGAGGGATCTGCATGAGGGGATCTGCATGAGGGATCTGCATGAGGGATCTGCATGAGGGATCTGCATGAGGGATCTGCATGAGGGATCTGCATGAGGGCATGAGGGATCTGCATGAGGGATCTGCATGAGGGATCTGCATGAGGGATCTGCATGAGGGATTCTGCATGAGGATCTGCATGAGGGATCTGCATGAGGGATCTGCATGAGGGATCTGCATGAGGGATCTGCATGAGGGATCTGCATGAGGGATCTGCATGAGGGATCTGCATGATGGATCTGCATGAGGGATCTGCATGAGGGATCTGCATGAGGGATCTGCATGAGGGATCTGCATGAGGGTCTGCATGAGGGATCTGCATGAGGGATCTGCATGAGGGATCTGCATGAGGGATCTGCATGAGGGATCTGCATGAGGGATCTGCATGAGGGATCTGCATGAGGGATCTGCATGAGGGATCTGCATGAGGGATCTGCATGAGGGATCTGCATGAGGGATCTGCATGAGGGATCTGCATGAGGGATCTGCATGAGGGATCTGCATGAGGGATCTGCATGAGGGATCTGCATGAGGGAATCTGCATGAGGGATCTGCATGAGGGATCTGCATGAGGGATCTGCATGAGGGATCTGCATGAGGGATCTGCATGAGGGATCTGCATGAGGGATCTGCATGAGGGATCTGCATGAGGGATCTGCATGAGGGATCTGCATGAGGGATCTGCATGAGGGATCTGCATGAGGGATCTGCATGAGGGATCTGCATGAGGGATCTGCCATGAGGGATCTGCATGAGGGATCTGCATGAGGGATCTGCATGAGGGATCTGCATGAGGGATCTGCATGAGGGATCTGCATGAGGGATCTGCATGAGGGATCTGCATGAGGGATCTGCATGAGGGATCTGCATGAGGGATCTGCATGAGGGATCTGCATGAGGGATCTGCATGAGGGATCTGCATGAGGGATCCTGCATGAGGGATCTGCATGAGGGATCTGCATGAGGGATCTGCATGAGGGATCTGCATGAGGGATCTGCATGAGGGATCTGCATGAGGGATCTGCATGAGGGATCTGCATGAGGGATCTGCATGAGGGATCTGCATGAGGGATCTGCATGAGGGAATCTGCATGAGGGATCTGCATGAGGGTATCTGCATGAGGGGATCTGCATGAGGGATCTGCATGAGGGATCTGCATGAGGGATCTGCATGAGGGATCTGCCATGAGGGATCTGCATGAGGGATCTGCATGAGGGATCTGCATGAGGGATCTGCATGAGGGATCTGCATGAGGGATCTGCATGAGGGATCTGCATGAGGGATCTGCATGAGGGATCTGCATGAGGGATCTGCATGAGGGATCTGCATGAGGGATCTGCATGAGGGATCTGCATGAGGGATCTGCATGAGGGATCTGCATGAGGGGATCTGCATGAGGGATCTGCATGAGGGATCTGCATGAGGGATCTGCATGAGGGATCTGCATGAGGGATCTGCATGAGGGATCTGCATGAGGGATCTGCATGAGGGATCTGCATGAGGGATCTGCATGAGGGATCTGCATGAGGGATCTGCATGAGGGATCTGCATGAGGGATCTGCATGAGGGATCTGCATGAGGGATCTGCATGAGGGATCTGCAGGAGGGATCTGCATGAGGGATCTGCATGAGGGATCTGCATGAGGGATCTGCATGAGGGGATCTGCATGAGGGATCTGCATGAGGGATCTGCATGAGGGATCTGCATGAGGGATCTGCATGAGGGATCTGCATGAGGGGATCTGCATGAGGGATCTGCATGAGGGATCTGCATGAGGGATCTGCATGAGGGATCTGCATGAGGGATCTGCATGAGGGATCTGCATGAGGGATCTGCATGAGGGATCTGCATGAGGGATCTGCATGAGGATCTGCATGAGGGATCTGCATGAGGGATCTGCATGAGGATCTGCATGAGGGATCTGCATGAGGGATCTGCATGAGGGATCTGCATGAGGGATCTGCATGAGGGATCTGCATGAGGGATCTGCATGAGGGATCTGCATGAGGGATCTGCATGAGGGATCTGCATGAGGGATCTGCATGAGGGATCTGCATGAGGGATCTGCATGAGGGATCTGCATGAGGGATCTGCATGAGGGATCTGCATGAGGGATCTGCATGAGGGATCTGCATGAGGGATCTGCATGAGGGATCTGCATGAGGGATCTGCATGAGGGATCTGCATGAGGGATCTGCATGAGGGATCTGCATGAGGGATCTGCATGAGGGATCTGCATGAGGGATCTGCATGAGGGATCTGCATGAGGGATCTGCATGAGGGATCTGCATGAGGGATCTGCATGAGGGATCTGCATGAGGGATCTGCATGAGGGATCTGCATGAGGGATCTGCATGAGGGATCTGCATGAGGGATCTGCATGAGGATCTGCATGAGGGATCTGCATGAGGGATCTGCATGAGGGATCTGCATGAGGGATCTGCATGAGGGATCTGCATGAGGGATCTGCATGAGGGATCTGCATGAGGGATCTGCATGAGGGATCTGCATGAGGGATCTGCATGAGGGATCTGCATGAGGGATCTGCATGAGGGATCTGCATGAGGGATCTGCATGAGGGATCTGCATGAGGGATCTGCATGAGGGATCTGCATGAGGGATCTGCATGAGGGATCTGCATGAGGGATCTGCATGAGGGATCTGCATGAGGGATCTGCATGAGGGATCTGCATGAGGGATCTGCATGAGGGATCTGCATGAGGGATCTGCATGAGGGATCTGCATGAGGGATCTGCATGAGGGATCTGCATGAGGGATCTGCATGAGGGATCTGCATGAGGGATCTGCATGAGGGATCTGCATGAGGGATCTGCATGAGGGATCTGCATGAGGGATCTGCATGAGGGATCTGCATGAGGGATCTGCATGAGGGATCTGCATGAGGGATCTGCATGAGGGGATCTGCATGAGGGATCTGCATGAGGGATCTGCATGAGGGATCTGCATGAGGGATCTGCATGAGGGATCTGCATGAGGGATCTGCATGAGGGATCTGCATGAGGGATCTGCATGAGGGATCTGCATGAGGGATCTGCATGAGGGATCTGCATGAGGGATCTGCATGAGGATCTGCATGAGGGGATCTGCATGAGGGATCTGCATGAGGGATCTGCATGAGGGATCTGCATGAGGGATCTGCATGAGGGATCTGCATGAGGGATCTGCATGAGGGATCTGCATGAGGGATCTGCATGAGGGATCTGCATGAGGGATCTGCATGAGGGATCTGCCATGAGGGATCTGCATGAGGGATCTGCATGAGGGATCTGCATGAGGGATCTGCATGAGGGATCTGCATGAGGGATCTGCATGAGGATCTGCATGAGGGATCTGCATGAGGGATCTGCATGAGGGATCTGCATGAGGGATCTGCATGAGGGATCTGCATGAGGGATCTGCATGAGGGATCTGCATGAGGGATCTGCAGAGGGATCTGCATGAGGGATCTGCATGAGGGATCTGCATGAGGGATCTGCATGAGGGATCTGCATGAGGGATCTGCATGAGGGATCTGCATGAGGGATCTGCATGAGGGATCTGCAATGAGGGATCTGCATGAGGGATCTGCATGAGGGATCTGCATGAGGGATCTGCATGAGGGATCTGCATGAGGGATCTGCATGAGGGATCTGCATGAGGGATCTGCATGAGGGGATCTGCATGAGGGATCTGCATGAGGGATTCTGCATGAGGGATCTGCATGAGGGATCTGCATGAGGGATCTGCATGAGGGATCTGCATGAGGGATCTGCATGAGGGATCTGCATGAGGGATCTGCATGAGGGGATCTGCATGAGGGATCTGCATGAGGGATCTGCATGAGGGATCTGCATGAGGGATCTGCATGAGGGATCTGCATGAGGGATCTGCATGAGGGATCTGCATGAGGGATCTGCATGAGGGATCGCATGAGGGATCTGCATGAGGGATCTGCATGAGGGATCTGCATGAGGGATCTGCATGAGGGATTCTGCATGAGGGATCTGCATGAGGGATCTGCATGAGGGATCTGCATGAGGGATCTGCATGAGGGATCTGCATGAGGATCTGCATGAGGGATCTGGCATGAGGGATCTGCATGAGGGATCTGCATGAGGGATCTGCATGAGGGATCTGCATGAGGGATCTGCATGAGGGATCTGCATGAGGGATCTGCATGAGGGATCTGCATGAGGGATCTGCATGAGGGATCTGCATGAGGATCTGCATGAGGGATCTGCAATGAGGGATCTGCATGAGGGATCTGCATGAGGGATCTGCATGAGGGATCTGCATGAGGGATCTGCATGAGGGATCTGCATGAGGGATCTGCATGAGGGATCTGCATGAGGGATCTGCATGAGGGATCTGCATGAGGGATCTGCATGAGGGATCTGCATGAGGGATCTGCATGAGGGATCTGCATGAGGGATCTGCATGAGGGATCTGCATGAGGGATCTGCATGAGGGATCTGCATGAGGGATCTGCATGAGGGATCTGCATGAGGGATCTGCATGAGGGATCTGCATGAGGGATCTGCATGAGGGATCTGCATGAGGGATCTGCATGAGGGATCTGCATGAGGGATCTGCATGAGGGATCTGCATGAGGGATCTGCATGAGGGATCTGCATGAGGGATCTGCATGAGGGATCTGCATGAGGGATCTGCATGAGGGATCTGCATGAGGGATCTGCATGAGGGATCTGCATGAGGGATCTGCATGAGGGATCTGCATGAGGGATCTGCATGAGGGATCTGCATGAGGGATCTGCATGAGGGATCTGCATGAGGGTTTTTTGACCTTGCACAAATCCCTCACTCCTCTCCTCTGCCCCCGTCCTCACTCTTCACCCCCTCTCTCCCCCCCGCCTCCTTATCAGTTTGGGCATCCTGAGTGGTTGGATTTCCCTCGTGAGGGCAACAACTGGAGCTACGACCGCTGCCGGCGGATGTGGCACCTCAGAGATGACAAGCTGCTCCGATACCAGGTGGGTGCAATGCGGTGCCAGGTGGGTGCAATGCGGTGCCAGGTGAGAGCAGTGTGATTCCAGGTGAGAGCAATGTGGGTCCGCTTACTCTCCTTGCAGCACATGAATCGGTTCGACTAGGCAATGAACGCTTTAGATGAGAAGGATCCCTTCCTTGCATCCAACCTGCACACGCTCCCGCCCCAATCTCATCTTCTTCACTATTCCCTTCTCTCCCTTTCCACCTTGTCCCAACTCTCTTGCAGCACATGAACCGATTCGACCAGGCAATGAACGCTTTGGATGAGAAGTATCACTTCCTTGCAGCGGACCATCAGATTGTGTCCAGTGCAGACGGGAAGGATAGGGTGAGTGAGAGGAAGTGTGTACATGTGGGTATGAGCGTAAAGGTACATCTGGCATCTATCTGGTGCATCTGGTGCAGATCGTGTCTGGCATGAGAAGTATCACTTCGTTGCCGCAGACCATCAGATTGTGTTTAGTGCAAACGAGAAGGACCGAGTGAGTGAGTGAGTTTGAATGAGAGTGGGAAACGGAGCGTGAATGAGAGTATGAGTATCAGTATGGGTCCTTCGCTGCTGCTCTTCCTTGCCGCGGACCATCCGATCGTCTCCAGTGCGGACAAGAAGGGCCGGGTGAGTGAGTGAGTTTGTATGTGAGTGGGAGACGGAGTATGAATGAGAGTGGGAGTGTCAGTCAGTATGGGTCCTTCGCTGCTGCACTGCCTTCCTGCGGACCATCAGATCTTGTCCAGTGCGGACAAGAAGGACCGGGTGAGTATGAGTGAGTGTGAGTGTGTGTGAGTGAGTGTGAGTGTGTGTGAGTGAGTGTGAGTGAGTGTGAGTGAGTGTGAGTGTGTGTGGGTATTAGTGTGTAAGCAAGTGCTTTGCTGGCCGCACTTCCTTGCCACGGACCATCAGGTAGTGTCCAGTGCAGATGAGAACGATTGGGTGAGTGCGTGAGTCTGGGGTTCCATCGTGGCTGCACCTTGTGGCGGGCATGAGAATCTAGACTTCCTTGGGAGTGAGGTGACTCAAGGAAGCACTTACAAACAACTCAAAAGTCACCTCATGAGAATCTAGACTTCCTTGGGAGTAAGAATGTGAGTTCGATTGGGTGAGTGGGAAGGGGTGCAGGGTGTTTTTGAGAATTTTCAAAAACACCCAGGGAGGGCGTGCATGTGGATATGTATGAGTTGTTTGTAAGTGCTTTCTTGGCTGCACTTCCTTGTTCTCAATCATCAGACTGTGTCCCATCCCATGCAGATGAGAAGGATTGGGTGTGTGAATGTGAGTGCTTGACTGATTGCACTCCCCCCCCTGATAGCACAGGCAACAGGTCCAAAGAAGCATTTCTTTGCTGACTGCACTTCCTGTGTGCTGTTTCGTTTCATCCATCCGCCATTACTGCGCCGCAGGTGATTGTGTTTGAGCGGGGGGATCTCCTCTTCGTCTTTAACTTCCATCCCACTAAGACCTACGAGGGGTATGTCCTGTGCTCCTCTTGCACCCTCTCTTTCCTCCTTCACCTCTTCCTCATTCCTTACCTTCTTCGTCTTTAACCTTTATCCCTCTAACACCTACGGGGGGTACGTCATCTGCTGCTTATCCCTCACAAGCTGCTCTTTCATACTTCGCCCCACTATGACTTCTGAGGGGTATGTCACTCGGTGCCTGTGCGTCCTCCTCACTCTCCCCTTCCCCGTCTCTTCTCGTCCTCCCTCCGCTGCCCCCACAGGTGCAAGGTGGGGTGCAAAGGGCTTTGAGACGTCTCAAAACAAGGGCCTGGTAATTGGCGAGTGGTGCTTGTTTTGAGACGTCTCAAAAATGGGATGCAAAGAGCCTCGTAATTGGCGAGTGGTGCTTGTTTTGAGACGTCTCAAAAATGGGATGCAAAGAGCCTGGTAATTGGCGAGTGGTGCTTGTTTTGAGACGCCTCAAAAATGGGATGCAAAGAGCCTGGTAATTGGCGAGTGGTGCTTGTTTTGAGACGTCTCAAAAATGGGATGCAAAGAGCCTGGTAATTGGCGAGTGGTCCTTGTTTTGAGACGCCTCAAAAATGGGATGCAAAGAGCCTGGTAATTGGCGAGTGGTGCTTGTTTTGAGACGCCTCAAAAATGGGATGCAAAGAGCCTGGTAATTGGCGAGTGGTGCTTGTTTTGAGACGTCTCAAAAATGGGATGCAAAGAGCCTGGTAATTGGCGAGTGGTGCTTGTTTTGAGACGTCTCAAAAATGGGATGCAAAGAGCCTGGTAATTGGCGAGTGGTGCTTGTTTTGAGACGTCTCAAAAATGGGATGCAAAGAGCCTGGTAATTGGCGAGTGGTGCTTGTTTTGAGACGTCTCAAAAATGGGATGCAAAGAGCCTGGTAATTGGCGAGTGGTGCTTGTTTTGAGACGCCTCAAAAATGGGATGCAAAGAGCCTGGTAATTGGCGAGTGGTGCTTGTTTTGAGACGTCTCAAAAATGGGATGCAAAGAGCCTGGTAATTGGCGAGTGGTGCTTGTTTTGAGACGTCTCAAAAATGGGATGCAAAGAGCTTGGTAATTGGCGAGTGGTGCTTGTTTTGAGACGTCTCAAAAATGGGATGCAAAGAGCCTGGTAATTGGCGAGTGGTGCTTGTTTTGAGACGTCTCAAAAATGGGATGCAAAGAGCCTGGTAATTGGCGAGTGGTGCTTGTTTTGAGACGTCTCAAAAATGGGATGCAAAGAGCCTGGTAATTGGCGAGTGGTGCTTGTTTTGAGACGCCTCAAAAATGGGATGCAAAGAGCCTGGTAATCGGCGAGTGGTGCTTGTTTTGAGACGTCTCAAAAATGGGATGCAAAGAGCCTGGTAATTGGCGAGTGGTGCTTGTTTTGAGACGTCTCAAAAATGGGATGCAAAGAGCCTGGTAATTGGCGAGTGGTGCTTGTTTTGAGACGTCTCAAAAATGGGATGCAAAGAGCCTGGTAATTGGCGAGTGGTGCTTGTTTTGAGACGTCTCAAAAATGGGATGCAAAGAGCCTGGTAATTGGCGAGTGGTGCTTGTTTTGAGACGCCTCAAAAAATGGGATGCAAAGAGCCTGGTAATTGGCGAGTGGTGCTTGTTTTGAGACGTCTCAAAAATGGGATGCAAAGAGCCTGGTAATTGGCGAGTGGTGCTTGTTTTGAGACGTCTCAAAAATGGGATGCAAAGAGCCTGGTAATTGGCGAGTGGTGCTTGTTTTGAGACGTCTCAAAAATGGGATGCAAAGAGCCTGGTAATTGGCGAGTGGTGCTTGTTTTGAGACGTCTCAAAAATGGGATGCAAAGAGCCTGGTAATTGGCGAGTGGTGCTTGTTTTGAGACGTCTCAAAAATGGGATGCAAAGAGCCTGGTAATTGGCGAGTGGTGCTTGTTTTGAGACGTCTCAAAAATGGGATGCAAAGAGCCTGGTAATTGGCGAGTGGTGCTTGTTTTGAGACGTCTCAAAAATGGGATGCAAAGAGCCTGGTACTTGGCGAGTGGTGCTTGTTTTGAGACGTCTCAAAAATGGGATGCAAAGAGCCTGGTAATTGGCGAGTGGTGCTTGTTTTGAGACGTCTCAAAAATGGGATGCAAAGAGCCTGGTAATTGGCGAGTGGTGCTTGTTTTGAGACGTCTCAAAAATGGGATGCAAAGAGCCTGGTAATTGGCGAGTGGTGCTTGTTTTGAGACGTCTCAAAAATGGGATGCAAAGAGCCTGGTAATTGGCGAGTGGTGCTTGTTTTGAGACGCCTCAAAAATGGGATGCAAAGAGCCTGGTAATTGGCGAGTGGTGCTTGTTTTGAGACGTCTCAAAAATGGGATGCAAAGAGCCTGGTAATTGGCGAGTGGTGCTTGTTTTGAGACGTCTCAAAAATGGGATGCAAAGAGCTTGGTAATTGGCGAGTGGTGCTTGTTTTGAGACGTCTCAAAAATGGGATGCAAAGAGCCTGGTAATTGGCGAGTGGTGCTTGTTTTGAGACGTCTCAAAAATGGGATGCAAAGAGCCTGGTAATTGGCGAGTGGTGCTTGTTTTGAGACGTCTCAAAAATGGGATGCAAAGAGCCTGGTAATTGGCGAGTGGTGCTTGTTTTGAGACGCCTCAAAAATGGGATGCAAAGAGCCTGGTAATCGGCGAGTGGTGCTTGTTTTGAGACGTCTCAAAAATGGGATGCAAAGAGCCTGGTAATTGGCGAGTGGTGCTTGTTTTGAGACGTCTCAAAAATGGGATGCAAAGAGCCTGGTAATTGGCGAGTGGTGCTTGTTTTGAGACGTCTCAAAAATGGGATGCAAAGAGCCTGGTAATTGGCGAGTGGTGCTTGTTTTGAGACGTCTCAAAAATGGGATGCAAAGAGCCTGGTAATTGGCGAGTGGTGCTTGTTTTGAGACGCCTCAAAAAATGGGATGCAAAGAGCCTGGTAATTGGCGAGTGGTGCTTGTTTTGAGACGTCTCAAAAATGGGATGCAAAGAGCCTGGTAATTGGCGAGTGGTGCTTGTTTTGAGACGTCTCAAAAATGGGATGCAAAGAGCCTGGTAATTGGCGAGTGGTGCTTGTTTTGAGACGTCTCAAAAATGGGATGCAAAGAGCCTGGTAATTGGCGAGTGGTGCTTGTTTTGAGACGTCTCAAAAATGGGATGCAAAGAGCCTGGTAATTGGCGAGTGGTGCTTGTTTTGAGACGTCTCAAAAATGGGATGCAAAGAGCCTGGTAATTGGCGAGTGGTGCTTGTTTTGAGACGTCTCAAAAATGGGATGCAAAGAGCCTGGTAATTGGCGAGTGGTGCTTGTTTTGAGACGTCTCAAAAATGGGATGCAAAGAGCCTGGTACTTGGCGAGTGGTGCTTGTTTTGAGACGTCTCAAAAATGGGATGCAAAGAGCCTGGTAATTGGCGAGTGGTGCTTGTTTTGAGACGTCTCAAAAATGGGATGCAAAGAGCCTGGTAATTGGCGAGTGGTGCTTGTTTTGAGACGTCTCAAAAATGGGATGCAAAGAGCCTGGTAATTGGCGAGTGGTGCTTGTTTTGAGACGTCTCAAAAATGGGATGCAAAGAGCCTGGTAATTGGCGAGTGGTGCTTGTTTTGAGACGTCTCAAAAATGGGATGCAAAGAGCCTGGTAATTGGCGAGTGGTGCTTGTTTTGAGACGCCTCAAAAATGGGATGCAAAGAGCCTGGTAATTGGCGAGTGGTGCTTGTTTTGAGACGTCTCAAAAATGGGATGCAAAGAGCCTGGTAATTGGCGAGTGGTCCTTGTTTTGAGAAGTCTCAAAAATGGGATGCAAAGAGCCTGGTAATTGGCGAGTGGTGCTTGTTTTGAGACGTCTCAAAAATGGGATGCAAAGAGCCTGGTAATTGGCGAGTGGTGCTTGTTTTGAGACGTCTCAAAAATGGGATGCAAAGAGCTTGGTAATTGGCGAGTGGTGCTTGTTTTGAGACGTCTCAAAAATGGGATGCAAAGAGCCTGGTAATTGGCGAGTGGTGCTTGTTTTGAGACGTCTCAAAAATGGGATGCAAAGAGCCTGGTAATTGGCGAGTGGTGCTTGTTTTGAGACGTCTCAAAAATGGGATGCAAAGAGCCTGGTAATTGGCGAGTGGTGCTTGTTTTGAGACGCCTCAAAAATGGGATGCAAAGAGCCTGGTAATCGGCGAGTGGTGCTTGTTTTGAGACGTCTCAAAAATGGGATGCAAAGAGCCTGGTAATTGGCGAGTGGTGCTTGTTTTGAGACGTCTCAAAAATGGGATGCAAAGAGCCTGGTAATTGGCGAGTGGTGCTTGTTTTGAGACGTCTCAAAAATGGGATGCAAAGAGCCTGGTAATTGGCGAGTGGTGCTTGTTTTGAGACGTCTCAAAAATGGGATGCAAAGAGCCTGGTAATTGGCGAGTGGTGCTTGTTTTGAGACGCCTCAAAAATGGGATGCAAAGAGCCTGGTAATTGGCGAGTGGTGCTTGTTTTGAGACGTCTCAAAAATGGGATGCAAAGAGCCTGGTAATTGGCGAGTGGTGCTTGTTTTGAGACGCCTCAAAAATGGGATGCAAAGAGCCTGGTAATTGGCGAGTGGTGCTTGTTTTGAGACGTCTCAAAAATGGGATGCAAAGAGCCTGGTAATTGGCGAGTGGTGCTTGTTTTGAGACGCCTCAAAAATGGGATGCAAAGAGCCTGGTAATTGGCGAGTGGTGCTTGTTTTGAGACGTCTCAAAAATGGGATGCAAAGAGCCTGGTAATTGGCGAGTGGTGCTTGTTTTGAGACGTCTCAAAAATGGGATGCAAAGAGCCTGGTAATTGGCGAGTGGTGCTTGTTTTGAGACGTCTCAAAAATGGGATGCAAAGAGCCTGGTAATTGGCGAGTGGTGCTTGTTTTGAGACGTCTCAAAAATGGGATGCAAAGAGCCTGGTAATTGGCGAGTGGTGCTTGTTTTGAGACGTCTCAAAAATGGGATGCAAAGAGCCTGGTAATTGGCGAGTGGTGCTTGTTTTGAGACGCCTCAAAAATGGGATGCAAAGAGCCTGGTAATTGGCGAGTGGTGCTTGTTTTGAGACGTCTCAAAAATGGGATGCAAAGAGCCTGGTAATTGGCGAGTGGTGCTTGTTTTGAGACGCCTCAAAAATGGGATGCAAAGAGCCTGGTAATTGGCGAGTGGTGCTTGTTTTGAGACGTCTCAAAAATGGGATGCAAAGAGCCTGGTAATTGGCGAGTGGTGCTTGTTTTGAGACGCCTCAAAAATGGGATGCAAAGAGCCTGGTAATTGGCGAGTGGTGCTTGTTTTGAGACGTCTCAAAAATGGGATGCAAAGAGCCTGGTAATTGGCGAGTGGTGCTTGTTTTGAGACGTCTCAAAAATGGGATGCAAAGAGCCTGGTAATTGGCGAGTGGTGCTTGTTTTGAGACGTCTCAAAAATGGGATGCAAAGAGCCTGGTAATTGGCGAGTGGTGCTTGTTTTGAGACGTCTCAAAAATGGGATGCAAAGAGCCTGGTAATTGGCGAGTGGTGCTTGTTTTGAGACGTCTCAAAAATGGGATGCAAAGAGCCTGGTAATTGGCGAGTGGTGCTTGTTTTGAGACGCCTCAAAAATGGGATGCAAAGAGCCTGGTAATTGGCGAGTGGTGCTTGTTTTGAGACGTCTCAAAAATGGGATGCAAAGAGCCTGGTAATTGGCGAGTGGTGCTTGTTTTGAGACGTCTCAAAAATGGGATGCAAAGAGCCTGGTAATTGGCGAGTGGTGCTTGTTTTGAGACGCCTCAAAAATGGGATGCAAAGAGCCTGGTAATTGGCGAGTGGTGCTTGTTTTGAGACGTCTCAAAAATGGGATGCAAAGAGCCTGGTAATTGGCGAGTGGTGCTTGTTTTGAGAAGTCTCAAAAATGGGATGCAAAGAGCCTGGTAATTGGCGAGTGGTGCTTGTTTTGAGACGTCTCAAAAATGGGATGCAAAGAGCCTGGTAATTGGCGAGTGGTGCTTGTTTTGAGACGTCTCAAAAATGGGATGCAAAGAGCTTGGTAATTGGCGAGTGGTGCTTGTTTTGAGACGTCTCAAAAATGGGATGCAAAGAGCCTGGTAATTGGCGAGTGGTGCTTGTTTTGAGACGTCTCAAAAATGGGATGCAAAGAGCCTGGTAATTGGCGAGTGGTGCTTGTTTTGAGACGTCTCAAAAATGGGATGCAAAGAGCCTGGTAATTGGCGAGTGGTGCTTGTTTTGAGACGCCTCAAAAATGGGATGCAAAGAGCCTGGTAATCGGCGAGTGGTGCTTGTTTTGAGACGTCTCAAAAATGGGATGCAAAGAGCCTGGTAATTGGCGAGTGGTGCTTGTTTTGAGACGTCTCAAAAATGGGATGCAAAGAGCCTGGTAATTGGCGAGTGGTGCTTGTTTTGAGACGTCTCAAAAATGGGATGCAAAGAGCCTGGTAATTGGCGAGTGGTGCTTGTTTTGAGACGTCTCAAAAATGGGATGCAAAGAGCCTGGTAATTGGCGAGTGGTGCTTGTTTTGAGACGCCTCAAAAATGGGATGCAAAGAGCCTGGTAATTGGCGAGTGGTGCTTGTTTTGAGACGTCTCAAAAATGGGATGCAAAGAGCCTGGTAATTGGCGAGTGGTGCTTGTTTTGAGACGCCTCAAAAATGGGATGCAAAGAGCCTGGTAATTGGCGAGTGGTGCTTGTTTTGAGACGTCTCAAAAATGGGATGCAAAGAGCCTGGTAATTGGCGAGTGGTGCTTGTTTTGAGACGCCTCAAAAATGGGATGCAAAGAGCCTGGTAATTGGCGAGTGGTGCTTGTTTTGAGACGTCTCAAAAATGGGATGCAAAGAGCCTGGTAATTGGCGAGTGGTGCTTGTTTTGAGACGTCTCAAAAATGGGATGCAATGAGCCTGGTAATTGGCGAGTGGTGCTTGCGACTATCGTTCACTCACTCATCCCCTTCCCCAGTCTCCGATTCCCCCCAAATTCTGCGCTCTTCTTTCTCTCCTTTGCCCCCACAGGTATGAGGTGGGATGCAAGGAGCCTGGCAAGTGGCAAGTGGTGCTTGCGACTGTCATTCACTCACTCACCCCCCTCCTCCTCGCTCACCGCTCTTGTCCCCCTCCCTTGCCCGCACAGCTACAAGGTGGGATGCAAGGAGCCTGGCAAGTGGCGAGTGGTGCTGGACAGTGATGCTATTGAATTCGGGGGCCAGGGACGGGTGAGTTGGGCTGGGGGGATGGGTGAGTTGGGCTGGGGGGATGGGTGAGTTGGGCTGGGGGGATGGGTGAGTTGGGCTGGGGGGATGGGTGAGTTGGGCTGGGGGGATGGGTGAGTTGGGCTGGGGGGATGGGTGAGTTTGGCTGGGGGGATGGGTGAGTTGGGCTGGGGGGATGGTTGAGTTGGGCTGGGGGGACGGTGAGTTGGACTGGGGGGACGGGTGAGTTGGATTCGGGGGCAGAGGTCTGGTTTTGAGACAGAGAAAGTAGTTAGATGGCAGAGAAGCAAGTTTGGGGATAAGTGGGAGGCCATCAGTGAGTTCTTCCGCCATCCGGTCTTTCCTTACTTCCCTTCCTTTTCGAATTTTGAAGCTGTCTTGTGGGTTTCTCCTTTCGTTTTTCTCTACCCTGCCCAAGAGCAGGTTGGTCACGACGTGGACCACTTCACATCGCCCGAGGGCATTCCGGGCCGCCCGGAAACAAACTTCAACAACCGCTGCTGCTCCCTCCTCGTCCTCTCGCCATCTAGAACGTGTCAGGTAAGGGACACACTAAAGCTTGCACGCAAGACACTCTCGAGAACAATTTGCATCACAAGTGTGGTACAGGGTGTTACTCCAGGGTATAAGTATCTCTATGGAGCTCCCTTACATGTAGTAAAGGGCTATTGTCTGTTTATGTGCATGTACAAATCAGGCGTTCTCATACCTGTTGTCCTGTGGCAGGTGTATGCACGAGTAAAGGAGGATGAACCTCCTGCCACTTTACCTCCCGCGAAGAGTGCTCTCAAGTCTATTGTGCCTCCCAGTCCACTTCATCTAGAGTGAACATCCACCCTGCAATCAGTCTTTTGTAAGCTGGTGTGTGCATACAAATCAGATATGGACCGGTAGACCGCGCTTTTGCATTTGGTGCCAAACTACAGATTTGGATTGGATCTGGATCGCTTCTCCTTGATACATGAGCTTGTCATCATTCAAAGATTTCTCAAGTGCTTTAATTTTCCAGCTTTAAAGCATTGGAGTTGACCCGTGTGGTAACTTCAAATCGTCCACTGCACCTCCTCATGCACCTCAGTCGTACAACAGGCTGGCGAAGTGGTAACGTGGGTGTGCGAGCATCTAGCCTGCTTTCCCAGACCGGAGGCCAAATCTGAAAAATGATGTTCCCAAGGTGTAGGACGTCAGGAATTCTGATTCCTCAGGGCGAGAGCTTCACCAGTTTGTGGGAGATCTGAACCCAAGCCAACCATTGCAATGTGCAAACAAACCGTTTCGAAGCGTAGCACATCTATTTGACGTGCACCAGCGTGAGCTCCACACAAAGCGTGACTCTCCACTGATCACGCTCACGCTAGTCTTTCTGGATGGCACTGATCGTCCCCAAGGCTCGGCGAAGAGATGTCAGAAAGACGACGCGGCGCGACGTGTACAGTTACTGAGAGCGATTAGTTGATTTTTTAGAGGTCTTAGGTTCAACGTAAGTGGCCGTGCCGTTTCTTGACAAGCGAAATGGCTTCCGCATCGGCCTCCTCCTCCTCTTCCGCCTCATCATCAGCCATTTCCGCTTCCGCGGGGGCTTCCGCTTCCGCCTCCTCATCACTCGCAGCGGGCCTTGCGCGCAAGTTGCGCAAGGTCCTCGACACGCGCACGGACTCCCCCGAGCTGCTGGCAGCGCTCGGCGTGCTTTCGGGATTCTACCGCGAAAACTCGCTGGCCAATCGGCGCGCTTTGAAGTCCACGATTGAGCGTAGAGGATTGGCTATTAACGAGGAATTTCTTCACGCGTCGGAAGCTGCTCAGGAGGTACCGGACGTTCTTTCTGATGCGGTTTGAAAGGCCTGGACTCTACTGTTCATGGCAACAAGCTGACATCGCGACAATAGCGAATCATGAGTCATTACCGAGTCAAAATGACAGTACTGATTCATGGGGACAGTAGAAGTCTCAGAAACGTGCACCAAAACGCATCTGATTTCGAATCTCAAATTGCATCCGCATCTCCCTCCGCGTTCGAGTCTGCATCTGCAATTCCGCCTGATCCCCAGATTCTTTCCTTCCTCCCCATTCTTCCCACCACCCTTCACCCCGCTTCCCCACCTTCCCCCGTTCCCTCCCCTTCTCATGCAGGCGTTAGATGTGGTAGAGGCAGAGGTTCGGGGCCTTGCAGAGTGCTGCGACAGGTGAGCGCGTGGGGGAAGAGGCATGTATACACCCCTGTAGCTTGTATCATGTGGCATGCCTTGTTTTAAACTGGTCATACAGGTCTCACCAGGTGCACACGTTGCACCTGGTAGGTATCAAGGCTTGGTTGGTTCGCCGTCCTTGTTTCTCCCCCCTCTGCTAGGTTCTGCGTACAGTCACATTTTGTTGACAGTGTCAGGTTTTCTGTCCATACAGAAACTGTTAACCTGACAGAGACTTCTCACATGACTAAGACAGCTGACTTCATGTTCAAGCTAAAGCCACCTTTACATCGTTTATTGTTGTGGCAATAGAGAGTTGCTGCTTGCCTGACAGAGACTGCTACCCTGACAGAAACTGCTACCCTGACAGACTGGGTAGGCTAACTTCGTTTCCTGACTTGTCTTTCCCTTCCACTCAGAATCGGCGCAGCACTGACCACGTGTGCGTCAACAACAGGAGACATGGTGCTGGCGACAGAGAGGCTCAAGCTGCCATACCATGTCCTTTGTCGCTCTCCTTTTTTCCCTCTTCTTTTTTTCCTCTCCTCCTATTCAGAATCGGCGCAGCACTGACCACATGTGCGTCAACAACGGGAGACATGGTGCTGGCAACAGAGCGGCTCAAGCTGGAGCTGGTTACCACAGTGCGGCGCCAGCAGCTCGTTGCAGCCTTTCTCAGAAGCTACCAGCTCTCGCCACAGGAGGTGAGAGTTGTGTCTGCCACCTGAGCTGGTTACTTCTTGAGCTGGTTACTTCCTGAGCTGGTTACTACCTGAGCTGGTTACCACTTCTTTTCAGGTTTTTTTTCTATATTTTTTTAGAACGACCTGCAACAATGTCTGCCACAAGAGGTGGTTACTATCTGAGCGGGTGGTAACCATCGTTCGTTTCCAGCAGCTGGTCCCTCGTCTCACCCAAACTCCAAATGTTGTCACATTTCTGCTTCCTGCTTCCTTCTCGTTCGCTCCCACCTGTGCCCCACACCACCTCAGGTGCAAGCACTGCGGGAGGACGAGATCAGCGAGAATTTTTTCGAGGCGCTGAACCGAGTGCACGAGATCCATGCCAACTGCAAGCTGCTGCTGCGCACCCACCACCAGGTAACTGCCCATTCCAGGAGAATCTGTAGTCTGAGGCTCTTAGCTGAACTGAAGGATGTGATGTGGATCAAGCACAGCGCCAGAAAACGAGTTGATGCTGCAAGCACACAGACCATGGGATGAGTGAGAAGCTCTTTGAGGCGCTGAACCGAGTGCATGAGATGAGATTCACGCCAACTGCAAGCTGCCGCTGCGCACCCACCACCAGGTAAGTGCCAATTGGGTGACCCTGCTGCTGTGCACGCACCACCAGGTAAGTGCCAATTGGGTGACCCTGCTGCTGTGCACGCACCACCAGTGAACCCTGCTGCTGTGAGCTGTGCATGTATTCTCAACCCATTTCTTAGCCTTGGAATCCCCTATCCATGAAAATATCCCCCTTTCTTTGTGCTATTCTCCTCCCCTTCCAACCCCTCTCTCTTTCTTAAAGATTCTCGAAAGTCACTCAAAGGGGCTGCAGAGACCTTTTTTTCCTGAAGCTATTTTCCTCCCCTGTCAATTTCTCCTGCCTTCCCCACCCCCCTTAGAGGCGCGGAGAGCTCATGGATCAAAGGGCGAGATGCGAGGCGTTCTAACTACATCCTCAAGAATGCCGTCATTGGCCCTTTTTCCTTTCTTTTCCCCCACTCTCCTTCACCACTGCGTTCACATCCCCCCTGCTCCTGCTTCCCTCAGAGGGCGGGGCTTGAGCTGATGGACCTGATGGCCGTATAGCAGGAGGGGGACTTTCGAGTCGACTCAGAACTCACCTCACATATCCCCTTTTTCCTCCCTCCTCTCTCTTCCCCCCCCTTTTTCCCCACCTCTCTTCCCCCCCTTCCCCTTCCACTACCCCCCTCAGAGGGCGGGGCTGGAGTTGATGGATCTGATGGCAGTGTACCAGGAGGGGGCGTATGAGCGACTATGCAGGTGAGTGTGGACCTGGGGAAGGCTGGACGTGGGGAAGGCTGGACGTGGGGAAGGCTGATCCTGAGGAGGGGAGAGTGTGAGGGGTGAGCGCGAGTCTTATGGATCTGATGGCCGTATACCAGGAGGGGGCGTATGAGCGACTATGCAGGTGAGGGTGGACCCGGGGAAGGCTGAACGTGGGGAGGATTGGATCCGGGGAGGAATGAGGAGCACTAAGAGCGCAAGCTGATGCATCTGATGGTACCAGGAGGGGGCGTATGAGTGACTGTGCAGGTGAGGCTGAGGTGTGGAAGGCTAGACCGAGAGCAAGAGAGCATGGGTTTGTGGATCTGAAAGGGGCATTCGAGATACAGGTGGGTGGGTGCAGGCAGCATGTCGCAGCTCAGGTGACCGTGGCAGCAACGGGGACATGCGTGGAGTTTCGTCTCTGTTGACATGCACTGCACTCGCCTCTGGTGCTTCCAACACCTCTCTCCCCCGATTCTTCATTCCCTCCTCTCACCCATCCCTCCCCAGGTGGGTGCAGGCGGAGTGTCGCAGCCTGGGGGACAGCGATGGGGACACGCCTGAAGTGGGCCCACTGCTGCGCACTGCAGCACATTGCCTTAAAGACCGCCCCGTGCTCTTCCGCTACTGCACTGAGGAGGTGAGGTGGTGGGTGAGCTGAGGAGGTGAGCTGCTGTGGCGGCTTTAGGCCCGAACCCTCTCTCCTGCACACACACAGCGGCGCATTGCCTCAAGGACTACCCCGTGCTCTTCCGCTACTGCACTGAGGAGGTGAGCTGGTGGACCGAAAAGGGTTTAGTCCGGCAGCGTGTGATGTCCAAAAGGTGACCTGATAGTCCGCTGGTGTGCACGGCAGCATTTTGCTTCAAGGATCGCCCTGTGATCTTCCGCTACTGCACAGAGGAGGTAAGGTGATTGGTGCAATGAGGAGGTGAGGTGCTGTGGCGAGTTTAGAACCGAATCCAGCACAGAGCAATGCATTACCTCAAACACCGCCTGGTGCTCTTCTGCTACTGTACTGAGGAGGTGAGGTGATTGGCCGAGGAGGGGTGTGTGTGGCAGCGTGTGATGTCCAAAAGGTGATTTGATGGTCTGCTCTTGTGCTCTGCAGCGCATTGCCTCAGGGACCGCCCCGTGCTTTTCCGCTACTCCACAGAGGAGGTAACGTGTGTTTGCGGTTGGGCAATGAGGAGGTGAGGTGCTGCACTAGGGAGCAGTTGCAGCAACGTCATGATGTGCTACCCTACTTCTCGCTTCCTGTCATATCGAGACTGTATAGTCACACAGTGCTGCCTGCATGCACACCTGTGCTGCCCTGCTTCTCACTTCCTGTGACTAGCTGGTTCACCACCACGCCACTCCAGTTGAAATAAAAGCCTTCATATACACACTCTCAAGCGCTCTTAGTACTTGCACTGTGAGTAGTTTCAAAAGCGTTTGAGAGTGTGAGTATGAGGACTTTTATTTCAACTGGAGTGGCGTGAAAACTGTCACATTGAGTATTCCCTTCTCTCATTGTATTTTTTACTCAGTAGTCACATTGCATATTGCTGCTCTCATTCCTTCCACCCCGTTCCCACTTCAACCTTCTCTACCCCATTTTACAACGCACTCTTCCGCCGCTTCATCGCTGCTATCTTCCCCCTTCCCTTCTTTACCCTCCATGATCGCACCGATGGCCCCCCTCCAACCCTGCCACCCCTCCCCTTCCCTCCCTGCTCTGTTCCCCTCTGTCCAGGTGGCCAACACACGCCACAATGCACTCTTCCGCCGATTTATCGCTGCTCTCACGCGTGGAGGGCCGGGCGGCATGCCTCGTCCCATTGAGGTGCATGCGCACGACCCTCTGCGATACGTCGGTGACATGCTGGCATGGCTGCACCAGGTGAGACAAACATGCTGACGTGGCTACACCAGGTAGGACAGACATGCTGACGTGGGTGTACCAGGTGACTCAGACATGCTGATGTAGATGCAGCAGATCATGCATGCTGACGTGTCTGCACTACAAGTGAGGCATGCTGACGTGGCTCACTTCCTTCCCTCTTTCCTCCCCTTTTTCTCCATCCATCCCCCAGGCACTAGCCTCAGAGAAAGAACTAGCCGCAGCTTTATTCGCCAACACAGATAAGCCTTCTTCCACGTCAGCAGAATCAGCACCATCAGGCGGAGGCGGATCAGGAGAAGGAGGAGCAAGGGTAGGAGGAGTAGATGCTGACGTGGCAGCGGTGCTGGACCGTGTGTTTGAGGGCGTGTGCCGGCCATTCAAAGTGCGTGTGGAGCAGGTGCTGACAGGGCAGCCGGGGCTCGTGCTGTGCTACAAGCTCTCCAGCCTCCTCTCCTTCTACTGTCACACCGTGAGTGGCCCTCCTGTTATTGTCACACTGTGAGGTTTCCACCCGGTATAGCACCTTCACATGTCCCGCAGTCTCACTGTCCACACCCTGCTGAGAGTCTTGTCCTCTCCCCCCCCTTTTCAACCTTTCCTCAATCAGGTGGCTAAGCTGCTGGGCGAGCAAGCAGCCCTATGCGTCGTACTGAGGGACCTCAGCGAAGCAGCAGGGAGGGTATTCCTTGATGCATTCTGGCTCAGGGTTGACCGAGTGCTGCGCTTCTCCTTTTCTCCCTCCCCGATCTCCCTCCCAGATCTCCCTCCCCGATCTCCCTCCCCGATCTCCCTCCCCAATCTCCCTCCCCGATCTCCCTCCCCGATCTCCCTCCCCGATCTCCCTCCCCCCTAAATCACCTCAAACTCCCAGGTGGCAGAGCTCCTAGGCGAGCAAGCAGCCCTATGCGTGGTTCTGAGGGACCTGAGCGAGGCAGCAGGGAGGGCGTTTCTCGACGCAGTCAAGCTCAGGGGCGACCGCGTGCTGTGCTTCCCCCTCCCCTCCGTCCCCTTCCTCTTTCTTACCCTTCCACCCCCTTCCCCCCTGCCGGGTGTAGCACCCTCTTACGCCCCCCAATCCCGCTTCCCTTCCCGTCTCTCCCAACCTCCTCTCAGGTAGCCGAGCTGCTGGGAGAGCAAGCAGCGCTGTGTGTGGTTCTAAGGGACCTCAGCGAGGCAGCAGGGAGGGCGTTCCTGGACGCAGTCAAGCTCAGGGGCGATCGAGTGCTGCGCTTCCCCCCGGCAGTGCCCTCCGACCTCTCCCCTCCGCCTCTGGTGGGAGAGGGCGTGGCGGTGGTGTTGGAGCTGCTCCAGGCGCATGCCAGCATGATGGTCCCGGCTGGGGCTGCCAAACCTGACTTCTTACCCGTCGCTGCTGCTCTGCTTGACCCCCTAGTGGAGGTAGGTTTTGAAAGAATTGGAGCTGAACTGATTGATTAGTAAGAAAGGTACTAGGCCTTAAGTACAAACAAAGTTGGGTTGAGCAAAGCTAGGGAAAGGGATGGGATGGAAATCCTAGGCAAATCTCCAATGGTGAGTTGGCAAATTTGCTGGATTACGAGGGAATCCCAACCAGATAGGGTTGGGATCACAAACTACACCCAACCTACAAATAACCTACTCGATATAGGTTACAGTACACTAAGTGTTGACAGCCTATTTCTAACACATCTCCTAGGCTGCAACATATCAGCCACAGGGAGGCCCAACACCCATGGACGAGAGGAGGCGGTAGTGGTCGTGGCGAACAAGTGACTTGGTAAATAAGTCAGCAAGGTTGCAGTCGGAGGCAATGTGGTCAGCCTTCAGCTGCGCGCGCTGCACCAGCTCACGAAGAAAGTAGTGACGAACCTCAATGTGCTTTGGTGCGACCGTGAAAAACAAGGTCCTTGGTGAGATGAATGGTGCTCTCGTTGTCACACCACAGCGTTGGGGCTGGCTGAGGATACCCGAGTTCTGCCAACAGGAAGGAGAGCCAACGGGCCTCCTGGGCAGCCATGGTCCGGCGTACAGCTCTGCCTCACAGGTCGAGAGTGAGACTGAGGACGATCGAGTGGAGCGCCAACTCACAACTCCGCTGCCAAGGGTAAAGCAATACCCCTGAGAAGAGCGCCGATCACTCTGGTCATCAGCGTATGACGAGTCACTGTACCCCTCAAGGCGAACAGGGGAAGAGCCGCCAAGAGTGAGCACATAATCCTGTGTGCCTTTGAGATAGCGATGGACCCGCTTGGCGGCAGACCAGTGGTGGTGGGTGAAGCGACCAGGTGCAACGTAGCGAGACAATACACTGACTGGGTAGGCCAAGTCTGGCCGAGTGCACATCATCGCGTACATGAGGGATCCAACGAGCTCAGGGTATGGCTCGTCACAGGGTTCAGGTGAGGGAACAGAGGGTGCAGTGAGTTGGTGCTGTAGAGAGAGTGGGGTAGGCATTGGTGCGGCTTCCTGCATCTTGAACCGCGTCAGGACGTTGTTGATGTAAAACTTTTGCGAGAGGGTGATGGTCGGGCCGTGCGATTACGTGTAATTTCCATGCCCAAATAGTTCGCCAGCTTCCCAAGATCCTTCATGGCTAGCTTCTCCCCAAGTGCGGTTTTGACTGCTGCCAGCTCAGTCTGATCCTTGGTGACAAGGATCATGTCATCGACATAAACCAAAATGAAGAAACGGGATGCTGTAGCTCGGATGAAGAGACTGGGGTCAGAGGTGGATGGGTGAAAGTCGAGGGACTCTAAAGTGCTCTTCAGCTTGTTGTGCCATTCCTGGGGTGCTTGCTTGAGGCCATACACTGGCCGATTCAGCTTCCATACAGTGCCTAGTGGAAAAGGAGCTGGAAATCCTTCGGGTCGTTCCATAAAGATCTCCTCTCGAAGGATCCCTTGAAGAAATGCAGACGACACATCCATGGAATCAACCTCCATGTCATCCCGAGCGGCAACATCGAGAAGGGTGCGTAGTGTGGGGGGTTTGGCGGTGGGAGAGAATGTCTCAAAGAAGTCCAGTCCGTGCTTTTGGATAAATCCCTTGGCACAGTACCGGGCTTTGAAGACCGGGAGTTCGCCTGGGAGTTGTTTCACCCGAAAAACATATTTGCCCTTCACGATGTTGACGTCGGAGGGAGGAGAGACATCTGTGAAAGTTCCTGTGTGAATGAAGGCCTCACATTCTGCGACAATGGCCCCCAACCACTGGGCGGCGTGAGGACCAGAAACTACTTCAGCATAGGTGAAAGGTGTGGGGATAGAGGGGTTGTCGGAGAAATTGAGAGTGGGAGAGTCCGCGATAACTGGAAAGAGGAAGCAAAGTGCGTGTATGGCTGAGTTGATCTCAATCAACTCCTCATGTCTGTCTTCAAGGAGGGAAGGCATGAGAGAATGATCACCCCCGACAGGAGGAGGATTGAGGGAGACACGAACGAAAAGGGAGAGCGGCTGTGGAGCTTTATGAGAGCGGGTGCGAGAAGCGATGGGGGAGGGAGGCGGAGTTGGAGGAGGAGTAGTGGTAGGTGAAGTGGGAGTGGAAGAAAAAGCAGGATCAGGAGCTGGAGCAGGAGCAGGAGGACGGCGGTGGTAGGTTTTGAGAGGAGGCTTGGAAGGGGGAGTGGAAGCAGGATCAGGAGCTAGAGCGGGAGGAGAGGAAAGAGGGGGAGCTAGTGGGGGAGGGAAGGGGGAGGGAAGGAGCGAAGGAGACTGAGTGGTGCTGGAGAGGGAAGTGGGTGGTGGCGGGTCAGAGACGGTGGAGGGAGTGGGAAGAGGAGGAGATGGAGTGTCGGGAGGAGGAAGGCTGTCAAAGTCGGCCCAAGTAAGAGATGGAGGCGGAGGAAAGGGGGAAGCCTTGGAGGAAGGGTAGAACGGGTGAGACTCATCAAAGAACACGTCCCGACTGCGATAGAGCTTGTTGATGGAAGGATGGAGGAAGAGGTAGTCTGCGGAGTCTGAGTTGTGCCCGAGGTATACGCACGTGAATGTTTTGGGAGCAAGTTTGCCGCCAGCTGCACGGCGGGCTTGGGAGTTGAGGAGGACATAGGAAGTGCACCCTCATACGCGCAGAGGGCGAACGGACGGCTTTTGACCTGTCCACAGCTCAGCGGGGGTGGTGTGGGTGTGGTGAGGATGAGGATGAAGATTGTGGAGGGCGGCAGCATGGAGCATGGCGTACCCCAGAGAGAGGGAGGGGCGGAGGCGTGAGTGAGGAGGCAGCGAGCAATTTGCACCAAGATGCGGTTTCGGCTCTCAGCAACACCATTCTGTTGAGTACTGTCTGGGAGAGTGAAAGTGTGAAGGATACCCTCTGTAGAGCAAAAAGCTTTGAGAGTGTTGTTGCGGAATTCACCGCCACCGTCAGAGTGAAGAACCTTGATTTTGGTTTTGAAGTGTGAATGAGCCTGTCGGGCCCACTCCATAATGACGATTGGGGCTTCTGACTTGAAGGTGAGAAGGTGGATAGACACATAGCAGGAATAGTCATCAATGGTGACAAGGAAGTAGAAGTGCCCGCCACGAGAACGAACAGGAGCTGGACCCCAAAGGTCCATGTGCACACTATCGAGAGGTGCAGTTGAGATGGACTCAGTGGGGGGATGGGGGTGTTCACGAAGCTTGCTCTGTGCACAGTCAAGGCAGGGCGGCCCTAGGTCGGAGGTAGGGGAGGGAAGTGAGGCTGGAAGTCCGTGAAGGAGCTGTTTTGTGACAAGGTCTGAAACTATGTTGCAAAAGACGCGTCCTGCATCCAGACGCAGGACGCACGACGCGCCCAGCGTCTTTTGCAACATAGGTCTGAAAGTGCGCGGAAGTTGATGTGGCCGAGGCGGCGATGAAATAGCATGGTTTTGTCAGAAAGAAGACGGCAGTGACAGGTGGAGGAGTCGGAGGAAGGGAGCGGAAGGTTGGTGAGCGAGCATGTTTGAATGGGAGGGACAACGAAGGTGTAGAGGTTGTTGGAGTTTAGGGTGAAGGGAGCAAGATGGATGTGGGTTTTGGCGTCAAAAAGGTCACATTAATCAACATCATTGGGAAAGATGGTGATCACTCCTGCATGTTGGATTTCACGTTGTGCAAGGAGGTTGTAGCGGAGGGTTGGGGCACAGATGCCAGTGACTGTGCCGGATGGGAAGGCAAGACAAGGAACTGTGGAGGACCCATGGCATTGGATAGAGAAGCTAGAATCGGCTCCAAGGAGTGGGGTGGGAGCCTGGTAGGGAACGAATGCGGTTTGGTCTTTGAGCACTGTGTGGGTGGCACCACTGTCTAGTATGAACTCGATCCCCTGTGTGTTTGAAACACCGATGTACTGCGACCCCTTCTCATTAATAATACCAGTACCAGAGAACAACAAATTGAGGCGAACATCAGATGGGGCGCTAGCCAATTCCTGAGCAGGTTCCTCCACTGCCTCGACCTGGTTCACGCGACGGGGTGGGGCCCAGTTGGGAGGACGCTTGTTGGTGGAGACACCATGGACGTCATACCACTCGTCATCTCGCTTTGAGAGTGTTGCCTCAGGGTGGTTGGTGCCTCCACATTTCTGCCCTGCACGTGGACCCTTCCTAATGATGTAGGGGCATGGGGGAAACGGGTTGCTCCTCGGTCCCTGCTGGGAGCGGAATGGGATACCAGGGTTGTAGCGCACAACATTGATGGATGCTTGAGCCGCAAGATCCTTTTCAGCAGAGAGAAGGGCCGATGCGACTTTCTCGAAAGTGAGTTCCTTGGTGGGGAGCTGCTTGAGCATAGAACTGGTGACATTGTAGGCCGGGGTAAGACCTACGAGAAGCCCATCTGGAGGTGCCTGTTCGGGGAAGGTGATCCCGATGTCCTTGAGTTCCTCGTGGATGTTACGAATTTAATAAATGTAGTCCGCCATGCCCGGGCATTCTTCAAGGCGAATCTGGAACATTCGAGGGTTGAGGATTGCAACTCCCACTGCGGTCTTGTCATGGAAACGGTCCTGGAGGTACTTCTAGATGTCATGTGCGGAGCAAAAGGTGCGGTAGGATTTGACAAGTTCAACCGGAGTGGTGGTGATGAAAACCCTAATAACTGCCGCATCCGCCTGCTCCCACAAGCTGAAGTCGATCTCATACTGGGTGGTCTTAGCCTCAAATGCGGTCTTGGCTACGGCAGTTGCTCCTTCGCCAAGAGGCTCGGGAGGGAGAGGCATCTTTCCCTTGCCGTGGTTGAGGAGGATGTCCTTGAGGCAAATTCTTTTGAGCTCCGAGCTAAGGAGGTGCTTCTCCACTCCATAGCACCACTCTCCAAAGTTGGTGCTCGTGCTGTTCGGAGCGAGATTGAGAATGATGAGATTTCCGACGAGGGTGGAAGTTGAAGTCCCCATTTCGCGCGGAGCGCAGCGCTTAAGTCTCCGATACGTAGCGGAGCGAAATGCGATTTCGGCAATGCGATTCTGATCTGCTACACTGCTTCGCCGATGCCCCCTGTTCTGCTTCGCCGCTGCCCCTTTTCCGCTTCTCTGCTGCGCCGCTGACCTGTTCTGCTGCGCCGCTGACCTGTTCTGCTGCGCCGCTGGACCTGTTCTGCTGCGCCGCTGACCTGTTCTGCTGCGCCGCTGAACCTGTTCTGCTGCGCCGATGAAACCTGTTATGCTTCGCCGCTGAACCTGTTCTGCTGCGCCGCTGAACCTGTTCTGCTGCGCCGATGAACCTGTTCTGCTGCGCCGATGAAACCTATTCTGCTGCGCCGATGAAACCTGTTCGAAGTTTCAGAATTTGAGAAATTTGCCACGGATAGATTTAAATTCCAGAAGCTTACGATGAAGGAAGTTGAAGGCGGAATTTGTCGCCGTTGAAAACCGAAATGCGGGATGAAGGAAGGCAAAATGCGCTCTTGACCCGCGCGACGATGTGAAGTTAGAAAACGCTAAGCGTAGGAGCCGGGAGCCGAAATAGGCATAGCCTAGAGGAAGAGAACCATCGTGACGCCAAGGATCAAATTCTGCGTGAGCGGAATTTACTAGCTCGATACCATGATAGAATTGGAGCTGAACTGATTGATTAGTAAGAAAAGTACTAGGCCTTAAGTACAAACAAGGTTGGGTTGAGCAAAGCTAGGGAAAGGGATGAGATGAGAATCCTAGGCAAATCTCCAATGGTGAGTTGGCAGATTTGCTGGATTACGAGGGAATCCCAACCAGATAGGGTTGGGATCACAAACTAAACCCAACCTACAAATAACCTACTCGATATAGAATATAGTACACTAAGTGTTGACAACCTATTTCTAACAGGTTTTCTATCTCTTACTGTGCCACAACCACGTATCCCTTCTCTCCTCTCCCCCCCGATTCTGGTGGGAGAGGGAGTGGCGGTGGTGCTGGAGCTGCTGCAGGCGCATGCCAGCATGATTTTACCGGGCTACCAAACCCGATTTTCTAACATGATGCCAGCAACGACAGTTATAAAATTTCTAACTGTCAGCAAACGCCTGTCAGTTATATTTTTTTTTACCGGGCTACCAAACCCGATTTTCTAACTGTCGTTGCTGCTCTGCTGGACCCCCTAGTGGAGGTGAGTCTTCCTCCCAGCAGTCAAGGCAGCACATTCCCTGAGATCAAACGCCTCTGATTCTGCACTCTTCTCTTTTCTTCTCCCCGTCCTTCCACCGGCGGGTATGCACACGGGCAGCACAGGTCCTGACAGCAAAGGCCGTGACTGCCCTCTCCTCAAGCTCCCCCTCTCTCCCTTGCAGTCTGTTAGCGTTTCCATGATGTTGAGGCAACGACTCAAACGTATATTCCCTCCTGGCCTACCCGCCTTTTCCAACCTGCAGGTGTGCACGCGAGCAGCACAGGCCCTGACACCCAAGGCCGTGACTGCCCTCTCCTCCGGCTCCTCTTCCCTCCCTCGTAGCCCCTTTGAATGCTGTCAGGACGACTCAAAAGTCTTAGTCCCTTCCCGCCCACCCCACCTCTTCCTCACCTGCAGGTGTGCACGCGGGCAGCACAGGCCCTCACAGCAAAGGCCGTCACTGCTCTCTCCTCGGGCTCCTCCTCTCTCCCTCGCCGCACCTCTGCTTCCGCATCCATGTCCGCAGCAGCAGGGGGGGACAGCGGGCCATTGGGGAGAAGAGGGTCTGTGCCTCTGGGCAGGCGGGCTACTGATGGGCAGGACGATGGGACGGACAACACGGTGAGTGTTTGTGAGAGGGAGGTGTTTATGAGAGCGAGGTGTTTATGAGAGCGAGGTGTTTGTGAGAGGGAGGTGTTTGTGAGAGCGAGGTGTTTTTGAGAGCGAGGTGTTTGTGAGAGCGAGGTGAGCACAGTGAGCAGCAGGCGAGGGGGAAGGGGCGGGAGAGCAGCCCGCTGGGGGGAAGGGTGTCGCTTCCGATGGGGAGAAGGGGGTCGTTGCCACTTGGCAGGTGGGCTACTGAGGAGCAGGACAATGGGACGGAGAATACGGTGAGTGTTTGTGAGCTGGTGAGTGGTGTCTGCCGTTGGGCAGGCGGGCCACTGAGGGGGAGACTGAGGGGGCTGAGAGCACGCCCCCCACCAGGTGGTGGCAGTGGTGCGGCACATCTTCCTGGCCAACTGCCTCGCAGCCCTGCACGCGCCACTCGCACCCTTTCAATGCTGTCAACAACCTACTGTACCCCCTCTACTCACCTGTACCCCCTCTACTCACCTGTACCCCCTCTACTCACCTGTACCCCCTCTACTCACCTGTACCCCCTCTACTCACCTGTATCCCCTCTACTCACCTGTACCCCCTCTACTCACCTGTACCCCCTCTACTCACCTGTACCCCCTCTACTCACCTGTACCCCCTCTACTCACCTGTATCCCCTCTACTCACCTGTACCCCCTCTACTCACCTGAACCCCCTCTACTCACCTGTACCCCCTCTACTCACCTGTACCCCCTCTACTCACCTGTACCCCCTCTACTCACCTGTACCCCCTCTACTCACCTGTACCCCCTCTACTCACCTGTATCCCCTCTACTCACCTGTACCCCCTCTACTCACCTGAACCCCCTCTACTCACCTGTATCCCCTCTACTCACCTGTACCCCCTCTACTCACCTGTACCCCCTCTACTCACCTGTACCCCCTCTACTCACCTGTACCCCCTCTACTCACCTGTACCCCCTCTACTCACCTGTACCCCCTCTACTCACCTGTACCCCCTCTACTCACCTGTACCCCCCCATTCCCATCCGCCCCACCTGTCTCCCCTCATCAGGCGGTGGCAGTGGCACGGCACATTTTCCAAGCCAACTGTCCCGCGACCCTGCACGCCCTCTGCCCCCTTTGCTCGTGCTGTGAATATCATACACTGTCCCTTCTTGCTGCCTGCATCCCCCTGCTTGCCACACCCCCACCTCTCCCCCCACATCAGGCGGTGGCAGTGGCACGGCACATTTTCCTTGCCAATTGCCTGGCCGCTCTGCACGCGCCCCTCGCCTCCTTCCCAGTGCTCTCTCCCTACTCCCAGGGGCTGGCAGGCGCACTCTCAGAGCACGTCACAGCCATGGTGCAGCTCGAGGTGGCGGCCATTCTCAACCGCTGCATGCTCTCCCCCATCCTCACCTCCTCTAATCACCCGCGTTCCCGCCGCCCCCACTCCCCACCCCCCACCTTCATCAGGCAGTGGCAGTGGCACGCCACATCTTCCTCGCCAACTGCCTTGCAGCCCTGCACGCGCCCCTGGTACCATTCCCAGTGCTCACACCCTATTCCCAGGGGCTGGCAGGGGCGCTCTCAGAGCACGTCACAGCCATGGTGCAGCTCGAAGTAGCAGCCATCCTCGACCACTGCATGCTCTCCCCCATCCTCCGCCTCATCGCTCAAATCAACCAGGCCTCTCAGCAATTACAACAGCAGCAGGAAGGGGGAGAGGTATCAGCAGCAGGAGCAGCAAACCCCCCAGCACAGCAGTACCCGCCCCTGGCCCAATTCCCAGAGGCGTCTCCCTCTGCTGTGGCCGAGTCCCTGCAGCGGCTCTTTGCGCTGCTGGCAGGGGCGGAGGGGCGGCTGCCTGAGTTTGAGGCGCTGGGGGTGGCGAAGCTGAGGGCGCAGGCTGCAGGGCTGGTGGCGGGGGCGCTGGCAGACGCGTATGCAGCGGTGTATGACGCGGTGTGTGATGTGCGGAACCAGTATCCTGATGCTGGGGGGCTGTTGAGGCACACACCCGAGCACATGCGCACGATTCTGGGCATTTGAGGCCCGTTTGGTAGATGTTGATCAGGGGGTGCTGGGGCTGGGGGTTCAATGGGGCTGCCTGGGTTCGAGGCGCTGCGGGTGGGGGGAAGCTGGTGGCGGGGGTGCTGGCAGATGCATATGCAGCGGTGTATGAGGTGGTATGTGATGAGTGGAATAAGTTCCCTGAGCACATTCAAGTATATTGGGGATAAGAGTTTGTTTGTAGCTGGTTCATTCGAGTCTGGCCTGGATATATGCTCGATTGAAGTTGGTTGATGCATAAGAGACAATTGTGATTTCTTTGGATGGAACTAGGCATATTTGAGGGAATGTACCCTAAATGGTCACAATGTGTGCATGGAGTATATATTAAACAGTCTGTCATGTTGATCATACGGTAGTAGCCTTCATCAGACTACTGTCAGAGTTCGTGAATTCAAATGACGGATGGCTCAGTAGCGAGGATAGTTTCTGGCCAATCTCCCGTCAGCCCTGGTAGCTGAATTGTTGCATAATGCCGTGTGCGACGGTGCGAAGCCGAAAGCCCAGGTGGTGACGGCGAATTCCTGCGAAGGTCGGTCAACGAAGTCGCAAGGCAAGCACAGACATCTGCGCACAGTCCCAGCAGCTCCGTCCTGTCGGTTGCCGCAAACATCTTCGCTTGCTTCGCTTCTCTTGTTTCTCGTCAACCCTGGGTTCACCGCAGCCTCCTCACCAACCAGAATCCGCATTCATCGTCGCCCGGGTCGCGTGAAGTTCTAGGGTTTCGGGGAGTGCAAAGTCCACTCCATTCCTCCTGTCCTGACTTTCCTGGCGGAATTCCCTAGAACCTACCATTTTGCTGAACTGGGCAAAAAACTGTGAAGGAATGATGCGACTCACCAGAAGCCCACGATTATTGTTTGCTCAGTGCGGTCTACTTCGTTGCGTCGCGATGCAACACGGTGGATCTCTACCGCCGCTTTCCACCGTGTGAAATCGTCCTGAGCCACGAAGAATGAACTGTACACCCCAGACCCCTCTGGAATAGCAACCATGGGGGACTGCTGTACTGGTTGTCAAGCCGCTGATGCTGCAGTCCACACATACACGCAAACAAGTCACACCTCTTTTCAAGACATCACGCCCTCTCTCGTCCCTGCGTTTCTTGGACTGCTGGCAATAATGGTGACGTGACGTGCCCTCTTAGCTTGATCTTGCCGCACGCTTTCCATCGACCATCCATTCCAGCTGAGAAAGTAGTACCGTCACTTCTGGAACCGCGAAAGTCGCCTTTGATGTTCTCCCGTGCATTTAGACGAGTATTTCTCGACAAACCTAAGCTTCGATGGATAAGAGGCTGCCTTTCACTCAATCAACAGCATTCGAGTCCGAATTTGAAGTAATTGATGCGTAGTCAGTCCTAAGAACTTTCCCTTAAATAACCTAGTGAATAGTTACCAGCTCAACACAGCTTCGTCGCCCCCCTTTCGCAATCGTTTCGCTGAAAACATCTTCTATTCTGTAGTATATTCCTTGAAGGCTTGACTGATCCGTAAGGAGTACTACAATAGTGAGACATCTCCTATCCTTCAGTTCCCGAATCGAAGAAAATGAGGCGAATGTCGGTTTTTGGAGTAGTTGCTGGGCTGCTGCTAGTGACTGTGGCCTTCGAGTCGGCTCCGGCGTTGGTACTTGGAGCGAATTCCAAGCTACATCGATCGCAAGGTAGTGCAGCTTGTTTCTTGGGTGTATGAATTAGTTCATGGAGCAGATTCCGTGCTACGGAAAGTAGCTTATTCCTGGATATCTCAATCTTGTCATTGGAGCGATTTCTACATAACACTGATTGTCACGTAGTGTAGCGCTTTGTTCCTGGTAGCATGCGAACAGATTGAAGCTACTCATCAATCGCTGTGCTAGCTGTTCTGGCCGAGGCCATGGGGTGCCACTCTCATCATAACCGCACACGTTGCGTTCACTCAACATCTGATACCCTTCTCCCGCATCAGTCCCAGTGCTAGCTGTACTGGGCGAGGTCGTGGGTTCGCGCTTTCAACATAATCACGCACGCAGTCACACTCGTTGAAGCCACATTCACTCTACATCTCAAACCCTCCTCCCTCATCAGTCCCAGTGCTAGCTGTACTGGCCAAGGCTATGGGGTCGCACATTACACGCACGCAGTCACACTCGTTGAATCCACACTCACTTGACATCTCATGCCCTGCCCCTGATCAGTCCCAGTGCCAACTGTACTGGGCAAGGACATTCCCTTCCCACTCTCATCATAATCACGCACGCAGTCACACTTGTTGAATCCGCACTCACTTGACATCTCATAACCCGCCCCTTGATAAAGTCCGAGTGCTATACTGGGTAAGGCCATTCGCACTGTCATCATAATCACACACGCAATTACACTCGACCAAGCCACATTCACTGTACATCGCATACCCTTCTCCCTCATCGATCCCAGTGCCAGCTGTACTGGGGGAGGCCATGGGGCCGCACTCTCATCATAATCACACACGCCGTTACGCTCTTTTGAAGCCACATTCACACCCTTCTCCCTCATCAGTCCCAGTGCTATCTGTACTGGGCAAAGTGTGGGGTCGCATTCTCACGCATTTACACTCGCCCAAGCCACCACATTCACTCCACATCTCACTCACACCCTTCTCCCTCATCAGTCCCAGTGCTAGCCGCGCTGGGCAAGGCGTGGCGTCGCACTTTCGCCAACTGCTCTCAAGCCACGGGATTGACGTGTGATGGCAAGGGCATGGTCATTGAGATGTGAGTGTTCGGTATTCGATTCTTCGCTGATCTTTGAGGCGCCTAAAAAATCGGCAAGGGCATGGTTATTGAGATGTGAGTGTTCGGAATCCGATCCTTAGCTGTGGCTCGTCGCTTCCTCTGTGGTTATTTCCCCCCCTAGTCATCTAGATGCTGCTGATTGGCATGCTCGTCGAGCCATGGCATGGCATGGCCGTTTTTCTAGCCTGTGTCCGAGTTAGGAGAACGCACCAAGAAGCGTGCTTCATCAAGGCCTCGTTTTTTAGAATTCTAAAAAACCAGCTTGTGTCCGAGTTAAGAGAAAGCACCAAGAAGCGTGCGTCATCAAGGCCTCGTCCCAGCCCAGCAGCGCTCACTAAGTTGTCCCCTCCTGTTGCCCACTTTCGCACATGCCTGCACACGCAGGTTACAGAGCAACATTTTTTATTTTTGTCGCCCTTTTCTCCTGTGCCCTCACACGCACACGCACATGCATGCACAAGAGCAGGTCGCTCAACAACACTCAAATTACAGGGTCCATTCCGTCGGTGATCGACAAACTATCTCTCCTGGCCCACCTGTAAGAGACCCTCCTGGCCCACTGTAAGACACCCTCCTGGCTCACCTGTAAGACATCCTCCTGGCTCACCTGTAAGACACCCTCCTGGCTCACCTGTCCCCCTTTAGCTCACCTGTGGTGCACCATCCTCAGGCCTCCTGCCCATCCGCAACATCAGCCTAGTGTGCTCACACCGTACTGAATCGTCTCTTCTTTTCTTGGTTAAAGCAAACTCTATTCTCAAAGTGCAACACCCACATCCCCATTCTCCTGTCCCCACGCCTCCCCTCTCCCTTCCCCCTCCCCCTCTTGTTCCCAATCCCCCTCCTCCCCTCTCCCCCTTTTCCCCTCTCTCCTCCCCTCTCTCTCCTCCCCTCTCCACCTCCTCCCTTCTCCCCATTCTCCCCTTTCCATCGTCCGCTTCCTCGTCCTTTATAACTCCACACTCTATCCATTCCCTCAACCTTGTCCACTAGGCAAGCCGTCCTTCTTGCCTCATAGTATTTGTACTAACTCTCTCTCCATTCCCAGCGCAATCGCTCGTCTATCGTGCATTCTCTCCCCATCGCCCCGCCCCGCTCCCTCTGCCAATCCAAACCTGCGAGCGACCGTTCCCGCAATGAGCAATAAAATCGAGTTCATCTGAGCGCGAAAGGGCGATGAAAAGGAGATGAGATAGAGATTAATTTTGAGTGTGGGGAGATGCAATCGAGATGCAATCGAGATGCAATCGAGATGCAATCGAGATGCTGTGGAGTGAATACAGGGGCTCGAGGCTGCTGGTGTTTTGAGACGTCTCAAAACACTTCTTCATACACGTGGCTGCTGGTGACGTCAAAGTAGCTGAGGATTCTCAGAGCGCTTATCTGATGTCCCTCCTCTCCTGTCATGCCCCTTCCTTCCCTTCTCCCCTTTTCCCACCGTCTCTCTTTCTCCAGCAATCTCGGTGCCAATCAGCTAACAGGAGTCATTCCAGAGTCCATCGGAAATCTCACCAACCTCTCCTACCTGTCAGTGCTGCTGCCGTCTCTCCTCTCTCATCCACACTGCTATCTCCACTCCTCTCTGCTATCCTTCTCCCTCATGTTGCTTCCCTCCATCCACTCCTCACATCCTGAATGTTTTCCCTGCCTTTCGTCCTTTCCCTGGTTCTCCACCATGCCATCTTCTCTATCCCATCTCCAATCTCTTCCCCTTCTCTCCACCCTTCTCCTTCCCCTCCTCTTCACCCTCCTCTTCTGCCTTCGCTCCCCACTTCTCTTCCCCCTCTTCCCCCTTCTCTCCTCCTCTCTCTTCCGCTCCTCTTCCCCCTCCTGTTCCTCAGTCCCTTGCTGCTTGTATCTTTTCGCATTTTAATAGACACTCTTACCCGTTTTCTCCCATATCTTCCCCTTCTCGTACAGAGGTCTCTACAACAATCAGCTAACCGGACCTATTCCTCAATCCCTTGCAGCTCTCGCCAAGCTGCAAACTCTGTAAGAAAGAACAGCGCCCATCCATCCGCCCAGTGTCTTCAATCTGGTCTGGAATTTCATTCAAAAGCGAATTCAAATTCCAATGCGCTCTGTTTCGCAGTCCGTTGCAACCCTCGCCAAGCTGCAGACCAGACCTTGTAAGCACTTTTTGAGCTGTTTTTTTCTGTCTTGCGCACCCTCCCACCTCATAAACTCTCCCTCCTTTTCTTGACCCCACCTCTGCTCTCCCCCTTGCCATAGAGCAGGGCATTTTCTATGCTTCGCTCTATGCTTCGCTCTATGCTTCGCTCTATGCTTCGCTCTATGCTTCGCTCTATGCTTCGCTCTATGCTTCGCTCTATGCTTCGCTCTATGCTTCGCTCTATGCTTCGCTCTATGCTTCGCTCTATGCTTCGCTCTATGCTTCGCTCTATGCTTCGCTCTATGCTTCGCTCTATGCTTCGCTCTATGCTTCGCTCTATGCATTCCATCCAATTTACTGCCACATTCTTCAATTGCTCCCCCACATCGTCCGCTCTCCCCCCTGCCACAGAACTCTCTCTGACAACCGTCTCAACGGCACCCTTCCAAGCTTAGAGGCGCCTCAAAACTTGTCTCACTGGCAACCGTTTTCTTACTTTACGTCCCTCTCTCCCAACCCCTTCCTGCCTCCCCTCTGCCACAGAACTCTCTCTGACAATCGTCTCAACGGCACCCTTCCTGATGCCCTCGGCAACCACACTGCACTCCTCAGACTGTGTGTCTCCATCCCTTCTCGCCCATCCCTTCTCGCCCATCCCTTCTCGCCCATCCCTTCTCGCCCATCCCTTCTCGCCCATCCCTTCTCGCCCATCCCTTCTCGCCCATCCCTTCTCGCCCATCCCTTCTCGCCCATCCCTTCTCTCCCATCCCTTCTCGCCCATCCCTTCTCTCCCATCCCTTCTCGCCCATCCCTTCTCGCCCATCCCTTCTCGCCCATCCCTTCTCGCCCATCCCTTCTCTCCCATCCCTTCTCGCCCATCCCTGCTCTCTGATCCCTGCTCTCCCATCCCTTCTCCCATCCTATTCTTGCGGCCCTTCTCTCCCCTCCCTTCTGCCACATGCTTTTTGCCATTGCTGCCGTCCCTCCTCCCTTCTCCCTCCTCTCCACTTCCTCTCAATTCAGCTTTAACTTGTGCGTCTTGTGCGTCCACTTCCACTTCTCTCGTGTGTCGTGTTCCAGTGCTCCTTTTATCCCAATATCCGCCTCTCCACGCTCTCCCTCTCTCCACGCTCTCCCTCTCTCCACCTCTCCTCATCCTCCCTTCCCACTTACAGCAATCTGGACAACAAATTTCTGACAGGCTCCCTCCCGTCTACACTCTCTGCCCTCTCCCCTCTCTTCTCTACCATCTCCTCCTCTTTAACCTCTTCAACTCTCCATCCTCTCCTCCTCCTCCCTTCCCACGCACCATCAGCAATCTGGACAACAACTTGCTGACAGGCTCCCTCCCGTCAACACTCTCTGCCCTCTCCTCCGCCACTTACCTGTAACACCTCCTCCTTTGTTCCTTAAGTGGTGTCTACACCTCCTCTCACCCCATTTTTCCGTATATTAAGTGTGAGACGTCTCATACATGAATTATCCTACCTATACCCCCTTGTATGCCTATTCTTGCCCTCTTTACACTTCTCCTACTCCAACATGATCACCACTCTTCACCACTCTTCAACCCTCATCTGTCCATTCCCATGCATCCCTGAACTGCACCTTACCTAGTACCTCCATTCCATTTATGTTCAGCACATCCCTCGCTTTCTCGAATAGCCATGGTTTGGCAGCAGCTCGTATCAGAACCTTCTGTTCGCACCAAACCATCTTCTCAACACAACTCCATCGCACCTTTGAGACGTCTCAAAAGCCAAACCATCTTCTCAACACAACTCCATCGCACCCTCCGACACATGGCACGGGCACCATTTGATCCCACCGTCATTCACATCACTTCATCGCTCTACACTCCTTTCCACCGCTTCTTATCCCTCACTTCAGGAGCATTTCTGACAATCTCCTCAATGGCACTCTACCGGATGGCATAGGCGCCCTCTTTGCTCTCCAAAGCCTGTATTTTTCCTCAACCCTTCTTTCTTGTGACGCTCGTCCTTCAAAACATACTGTTTACTTATATCTCCTTTGTATTCCACCACCCTTACGTTGCATTCATTCATCCCCTGTCTCCCTGCACCTAGTCGCTCCATGCCCTTCCTTTCTATGCTCCCTCCTTCCCTACGGTCTGTTCAACTGCACTCTCTCTGAATCAGTTTGAGCCGTCTCAAAACTCGTCCCATTTGCTCCATGCTCCTCTTAAACCCTCTCAGTCCCTCCCAATCCCTCTCGATCCATCTCGATCCCTTATCCCGCTCCTTTCCAGTGGCCTGGCCAACAACTCTCTCTCCGGGCCGCTTCCCATATCCATCGGCAACCTCACCAATCTCGTCACCCTGTGAGTCACACCAAGAGTCTCACACCCACAGCCACACCAAGATTCACACTGAGAGTCGCTATGTAATTCTCATTGGTGGCGGGTGCAATTCTGGTGGCTGTTGCTTTCTGACTCGCACACCAGCGACCCCAAACCTTGCCAACGCCCTGGGTGAGCGAGCCATGTGTGACCATTGTGCTTATACGTTCCACCAGCAGCTTCTCATGCAACACATTCCAAGGCGTCTGTTGGTGGTTTTTGAAAATTCCAGGATTCTCTAAAAGCACCTGTAACAACAAGGCGTTTGTCTGGTTACCACATGTTATGTGCTGACAAGCCATCCATCCAGGTTCTACCATGTATCATGCACCTTCCATCCACCACAAGGCAGGCTTCCTATCCATGCTTCGTCGTTGCAGGCTTCCATAATCGCCCTCCTCTCCTTCTCCTCTTGCTTTCCCTGCCTCACCCCCATTCCTTTCTCCCACCACCAGCAGTGTCCGGCCAAAAATGCCTCCTTGGTGGTATACTTTTTGGGTGTTGATATCGGAAATTGAAATCTCTCATGCCTGTGCACTTGACGGCCCCCCTGCCCACCAACGCAGGGGTTTGACGAGCAACAGCTTCTCTGGTCGCCTTCCCTCCTCCATATCGTCCCTTGGGAAGCTTGAAAAGCTGTGAGTGGCGCGGCGCGCACCCATGCCCCCCTCATGCCTCCAATGCACTCACATGCCACCCATTCATCACATGCACTCTGCTCCCTATGCCCCCTCATACACTTGAAAGCATATGGAGTGAATGGGGTGTATATGTTGCACCCTCTTACACCCAACCTCAACAGTCTCCACTCCACATATCTTCCTTCCCTCCATCTCCCCCATCAGCAACCTGGGCTTTAATCTATTCACGGGTGCCCTACCCAATAGCATCAGGCGCATGACTGCGCTAACCAGAATGTGAGTGCTTTGGATGCAATGCATCCCGCTCTTTCACCCTATTTTCCTCTTTCACCCTATTTTCCTCTTTCAACGTGACTTTCGAGATTATCCAAAACTCACCGCATGACTGCCCTAACCCTAGAATGTGTTGGGAAGAAAGAGAGGGGCATGCAAGGGGGGGAAATTGGGAGATTTAGGGTTGCAGACGGGACACGCCCTCGCTACTTGCAGAAGCGTGTAGACGAGTTTTGAAAGCAGTTCCCGCAACTTGTTGCTTCTCTGCTCTCACTCCTCCCCTTTCTCCCTTCGGCCCCCAGTCGCCTGCACAACACAACCCTCTCCGGCCCCCTCCCACCGCGCATAGGCGAGCTCAGGAGACTCAAGCAAGTGTGAGTGAGGGTGTGCGTGAGGGTGTGAGGGAGAGTGAGAGAGGGTGTGAGGGAGGGTGTGAAGTCGCAGATGCTGGCACAGAGTGTGAGTGAGTATGAGGGTACTGTTGTGTTTGACCAGGATCACAGCACAGGCTGGGCAGGTAGTGCGGACCAGTTGAAATCACTAGTGATGTCAAAAGTCTCAAAAGTATATTCTCAAAAGTGATTTCAGGTAGTGCGGACCTAGCTAGTGAGCACCACACGGGTATATGTAGAGGTCTCTGAGTTCGCTGTGGTGTAACGTGTGTGGCATGAATGTAGGTCTCTGGCATGCATTCATCGATGGTACTGGCATGCGACCATGGGCACTGGGCAGGTTAGGTGGGCGTGTGCTGTGTGTGGGTGGAGTGTGGATGGCATGGATGGCATGGGTGGCATGGGTCGCATGGTTGCATGGCTACCATGGGTCTAGGACTATAGCATGGGTAGCATGGGTCGCATGGATTGAAACCATCATAACAAGCTGAGAAGGAGAGTTTCCGCCTTATTCCTCCTCTCCGCTGCCTTCCTGATAGAAGTTGAGTTTTGAGGTGTCTCAAAACTCTTCCTCCCCACTGCCTTCCTGCAGGGATCTGAGCAACACCGGCATCAGTGGGGTTCTTCCTGAATCTATGGGCCACCTGGACAAGCTGACAGAGCTGTGAGTGCCACGTGTCACTTTCTCACACATGCCATGTGTTAGCCCTCAAACCATACCATACCGTTTCACAAACCTTGACAGTTGACTTGACCCGTCTTCTTCAGCACCCTGCCAGCCACTGCCTTACCTGTTCACGTTCCTTGGCCCTTCTTTCTCTTCTCAGAACTTTCTTGCCTTGAGACACTACATTGGAACGAAGTAAGTATTGGATTCACTCAAAAGTCACCTCACCTCTTAGTCTCACAAATCTTCCTTGTGTGATGTGACAATGACACTGAACTGTAACGGGGTGGCTTTATTTAATGCTTATTCAAAACTCTTAGAAGTGATTCCACGCAAAGCACCTCGTCCTTATCTCGTACAACTTCTCTGCCTTTTCAACATAGAATCCGCTTTTAAGACATCTGCCTTTTCGATCTTCTCTGCGTGTAAGTAGACGACTTTTGAGGCGTCTCAAAAGACGCAGAAAGCACCCCGTCCTCATCTCGTGGATCTTCTCTGCCGTTTCCCTTTTCCCTTTTCGTAGATCTATTCTTCCTTCTCCCTCCTCATTGTCTCACGCCATCTCCCTCCATCTCCCTCACACCAGCTACATGCACGGGTGTCAGCTCAACGGATCTCTGCCCGTGCTACTGGGCAACCTCACAGCGCTTCAAACACTGTGAGCTCTTTTGGGGGGGGAAGGAATGTAGGGGGAGGAAGAAGGGGAGAAGGGGGAAGACGCAGTGAGAATTCTTCGTGACGCAGTGTGCAGTGTGTGCACGCAAGAGTCGACCCAACCCAACCTCACAGCGCTTCAGCACTGTGAGCTGTAGGAGGGAAGACACCTTTCGTGGTTCACTGTGCTGTGGGTAGGGTGCCGTTTTTTAGTCGATATTTACGTGCTGTAGACTCTCTAATGTTGACACCATGGGGATGTTGTTGCGTGCACTTGACACCATGGGGATGTTGTTGCGTGCACTTGACATGCAACACTGTACATGCTGTGTGTCACACTCTCCCAACCCATTCTGGTTGCTCCCCTTCCCCACTCCTCCCCCACCCCACTCATCCCCCGCACCAGCGATCTAGGGAGCAATCATTTCTCAGGGGAAATACCCCTGTTTCTTAGCAGCCTCACACGCATGGAGACACTGTAAGCATGAGGAAGTAGGGAAGGAAGGGTGGGAGAGAAGAATCGGGCTGAAGGGGGTTCCCAAACTTCCTCAAAAGATCAGATCAGCCTCTGTGAAGAGCATTTTTCGTTTCAAGCCAGGCAGTTCTCTCTAGCACGCTGAAGCATATTATGGGGGTGGATGGGGGAAGAGAGGGAGGCCAGTGAGAGAGAGAGGAAGGTTCATGGAAGTGTATGAAATGAACGGAAAAGATGTGGTGGAGGAGCGGGGGGAGTGGTTTGAGAGGGGAGCACATGGAATGCATAAAGACACAGGCGCAGGCACCCACAACCACAATTACAAGCACAACCACAACCTTTCTCCACATGTATGCAATACCAATCCCATCCCATACCACCCACCCATAATGACCAACCCACCATCCCACCATCCCACCATTCCACCCATCCTCAACCCCATACACGCACTGTGCAATTCAATCTCATTAGGGACCTCTCCGCCAGTCAGCTCACAGGAGTGATCCCAGACACCGTCAGCAGCATGCAGCGACTGCAACAGCTGTGAGTGCCATGCCCCCTGTGACGTCAGCACACAATGGTTACGTCAGCACACTGTTGTGACGTCAGCACTTCTCTGAATTCAACACGCCACAGCACCACAGCACCGCACCACGCCTGTGCACCGCACACCACCACAGCACCAGAGCACCCACATCGCCACACCTCTCATGTCCTCCAGTCTCCCCACCCACCTCTCACCTTCGCCTTGTCTTCCCAATTCTCTCTCCCACTCTCCTGAATTCCCTCTGCAAACAACAGTGATCTCTCCTCTAACAGCCTCACAGGCGCTGTCCCTTCCACCACTACCTTGCTCACCAACCTCACCTCTCTGTCAGTCTTCCCACATCTCTCCTTCTCTGTCCCACATCCCCTTCGGCAAACAACAGTGATCTCTCCTCTAACAGCCTCACAGGCGCTGTCCCTTCCACTTCCGCTCTTCTCACCAACCTCACCTCTCTGTCAGTTCTGCCTCCTCCTTCTCCCATTCCACACACTTGCACTCCTGTCTTTCAGCGTCGTCTGGCTCCCCGTTTTGTAACCACTCGCCCCCTCCCGCCCGTCTCTTTTGCCTGCCCTGCCCTGCCCTCCTCCCTCCGTTTGCTTCTGCCGTCACCTCCGCCCTTCTAAACCACTGCTCTCCCATCTTCCCCTTGTTTTCTCTCCCCCTTCTCACACCTCCCTCCTCTTTCTCCTTTTGTTGCTTCTGCTGTGGCAGTCCTGGGGTGCAACAACCTATGAAATGCACCCTGGTAATCAATTACTCTTTCATTACCCCTTCTGCCTTTTTTTCTTCTGGCCCTGCAGTAATTTGTCACACAACAACCTCTCAGGGACAATACCGGCTTCCCTCGCCACCCTCACCGGTCTGCAGGCACTGTAAGTTGCCACCTGGAACGGCACAAAACACATACCGTTACAGATTATGCTATCTTGGAAACAAGTAGCTAGTCTTTATGATTGCAATGGATGTGTGCTCGCTTCCCTTTCCACAGTACATTGCAACCTGTGGTTGCACAGCGTGCATGCATGCACTGATAATTCCCTCTCCCTTCTCCATCCCCCCATTTTTTCTCCTCTCATCTCTCACAACCCTCCCTTCATCCTGTCTCTTCCCTACAGAGATTTGAGCTACAATCCTCAGCTCAGTGGGTCCATACCAGCTTCTTTGGGGGAGCTCAGCAACCTGACCGTTCTGTGAGTGAATTTTCATTGTGCTGTGAGTGAAACTTGACCGTGCTGTGAGTGAAACTTGACCGTGCTGTGAGTGAAACTTGACCGTGCTGTGAGTGAAACTTCACCCTAAGTTGGAATAAACGCGTTTAGCGTTTTGTATGCTCTCGTATATACGCGAGAGTATATACGCTAGACGCTGGCCATGAGGGGACTGGTAAGCACAAGAATACGCTTGCCCGGGCAGGGAAAAACTTTTTCCCGGGCAGATTTTTGGGGTAAGAGGTGGGGATGGGGGGGTGATGTAACCCCCATCCCCTATTTATTAATATGAAAGTTACAGAAAAAAAAACCCATAAAACTAATTTACCACTACATCTTCCTCCACCACATTCATGCTACCACCCCTCCCCCCCTACTCTACATGTTCATCCTTAATCCCCCGCCTGCCGCTCATGCATGGAGCCTTCCGCTAGTACTCATCGGCCATCACATCATCCTCCCCCACCTCAGGTTCTTCCACCTCCTCCTCGACGTTGTAGCCAGCCGGAGTGGGGGGGTCCTCGATGTTTCCCTTCACCACCCGCTGCCCTTCAGGGACCTTGTGCCAGTTATGCACAACCTGCCAGTTATGCACAACCTGCCAGTTATGCACAACCTGCCAGTTATGCACAACCTGCCAGTTATGCACAACCTGCCTTTTGAGACGTCTCAAAAGTTGCCCTTCAGGGACCTTGTGCCAGTTATGCACAACCTGCCAATTGTGCGTCACGCACACGAGGTCCCCAAGCTTCAGTTCAGATTGAAGTTTTGTTACTTTTTTGTCTGCCCGAAATTGAACTCGGCGAATTTTCAAATTATACGCAGCGTACGGATTCGTTAAGCGTATAAACGCAAAACGCAAAAGCAAAGTAGCGTATATTCCAACTTAGACTTCACCGTGCTGTGAGTGAAACTTCACCGTGCTGTGAGTGAAACTTCACCGTGCTGTGAGTGAAACTTCCGATCTCTACCTGCCTTTCTCCCTCCCTCCCCTCCACCGCAGTGCAACCAACACTACCAGCACCACGTGTCCCCTCCCATCAACACCGTGTGAGGTTCCCCAGTCACCCACCTCGGCCTTCTGCCTGGCTTGCCCCAACTTCTGCTCCTCCTGCTGCACTTCCTGCAGTGAGTGTGACATTCTGTGTGTGTGCGTTTGAGTGTGTGTGCACGAGGTGCCGCAGTCACCCACCTCAGCCTTCTGCCTGGCTTGCCCTAACTTCCGTTCCTCCTGCTGCTCCTCCTGAAGTGAGTGTGTGTGTGAGGATGTGGATGTGGATGTGGATGTGGATGTGGATGTGGATGTGGATGTGGATGTGGTTGTGGTTGTATGACTATGAGTCTGCATGTGTGCGTGGTGTGGGTGTGTGTGTGTGAGGATGTGGATGTGGTTGTGAAATTCTGTGTCTGCATGTGCCAGGCCTGCCCTAACTTCTGCTGCCCCAACACGTGTCTTCCCTTTCCTCCCCCTCCTCCCCCCTTTCCTCCCTCAACACTATCCCATCCCACCATCGCATCAGCAACCTTTCCCTCCACTCCACCCCCCTACTTTCACATACAAGCTCACCTCTTAACCACGTTTCTCCCGTTTCTCTCATGCTCCCTCTCCCCCCTTTCTCCCAGCCGATCCCTGCACCAGCTACCCCTCCAATCCATGCGGTCCCGGCGACTGCATCCCTCCTCTCCACTCACCCCTGCAACCTCTGTGCTCCCTTTTATCCCTCCCCTCCCCCCTCCCAGCCAACCCCTGCACCAGCTACCCCTCCAACCCATGTGGCCCAGGCGACTGCATCCCCTCCTCCTCTCCTCCCACCCCCTCTTCCGCTTCCACCAACAAGGCCCCTCCACCAGCCTCCACCACAGCCCCCTTTTTTCCTGTTTCTTGTGTTTCACTCTCCCTCCCTCTCTCCCATCACACCCAAGTTAACCTTCTAACGCAATGCTCCCGTTCCCCCCTCTCCCCACTCTCCCAGCCGATCCCTGCACCAGCTACCCCTCCAACCCATGTGGCCCCGGCGACTGCATCCCCTCCTCCTCTCCTCCCACCCCTGCTTCTGCCTCCACCAAAGGGATACTTCCACGAACTTCCTCTGCCTCCTCTGCTGCTCCTCCCAACAACTCCTACACCTGCCGCTGCTCTGCGGGTGCTGCTGCAGCAGTGGGGGCCAATGGGCTGCCGACATGTGTGACTCCACCCCCACCACCGCCCCAGGAGTCAACCAATGCAGTTGGTGAGTCTGTGCATGCTGGTAGGGAGGGACGGGGGGTGCTGCTGCTGCCGTGGGAGCCAATGGGCTGCCGACATGTATGACCCCCCCCCCCCCCCCCCACCACCTCAGGAGTCCACTGATGCAGTTGTTAAGTCTGTGTGTGCTGCTTATGAGTGACCGAGTGGCATTGAGCTAGAAAAATAGATAATGTGAATTTTTGTGAGCTGCTGAGTGAGTAAGTGGCATTAAGTTCTGCAGTCATTTTAAAATAACTGTGAGGGTTGATGCGTGCTGGTGAGTAGCTCAGAGCTGTGGGTCGTCAGAACCATTCTCTGCGCTCTCTTTGATGTACTTGTGTGCTGCACTCTCACTACAGGTTTCCTTTGTACCTCACTCTTTAAAAGTTTGTGCGGACCCTTGCCTCCTCCAGCCATGCCGACTGGGGAGATCATCGGCATTGCTGTCGCATCCTTCGCTGTGCTTGTGTGCTGCTGCTATCTTTCACTGATTGCCAGCTAGTGCCGCCATTCCTTGCCCTCCCCTCCTCCGGCCATTTCGCCTGGGGAGATCATTGGCATTGCTGTCGCATCCTTTGCTGTGCGTTTATGCTGCTGCACGTTCACCACGTTCACCACGTTCACCGCGCTCACCACGCTACACGTCACCAGGCATCATCCCTTCATCTTCCACTTCCCAAAGGCTCATCTCATGTGTACATCTCCCTTGCATGATCTCTCCCTCCCTCCCTCCAGTCATGCCAACAGGAGCAATCATCGGCATCGCAGTCGCATCTTTCGCTGTGATTGTGTGCTGCTTCACACTCATCTTCCTCTGCTGGCGATGGCGCCACACCAGCCAGAGCCGAGAGCTGGTCAACCAAGGTACGTAAAGGTCAACACATTTCAACAGAGGTCTAAAACCGGTCAACAAATATACCCCTTTGTGCTGCTTCACACTCATCTTCCTAAGCTGACGATGGCGCCACACCAGCCAAAGTAGAAAGCTGGTCAGCCAAGGTACACATAAGTCAACCCAAGTCAATAACTGGTTGACACAAGTTAACATACATTAGCACAAGTCAGCAAATGGTCATGAGAGCACATCAATGTTCAACTCAGCAAATAACCATGGATCTGTGTTCTCAAACGTCACTGTTGGTTCACGGAAACATGCAAGACCATTTGTAATGATTCACTTTCTTCGCCATTCCGCCTCATGCACCCTTAGCCCTCCCTGCTCCCCGCTCCCTGCCTGTCAACAGGTTGGCAAGCAGAAGCAGATCGAAGCTACCGCAAGGATTAGTATTTCTGAAGTTTGAGGCGCCTCAAAAGTTGTCCTTCCTGCTCCCCCCCTTCCTGGCCACAAAAGGTTGGCAGGCAGAAGCGGATCGAAGCTACCGCAAGGATGAGTATTTCTAAAACTTGTGACTTCGAGTCGACTCAAAAGCAGAAGCATATCGAAGCTACCGCAAGGATGAGTACTTTTGAGATTTCTGACTTGGCTACCGTAACAGATCGAAGCTACTGCTGCACGTACCAGTGTTAGATAAGACTGAAACGACAAGTGTTTCAATTACGGTATTGTATAAATGTGTCACAATGCTTTGCTCATCATGCTGTATATTTTTGTTAGTGTTGAGATTACCCGCCTGAAACAACTACCGTACATATTTTCTCTGGGCTAGTATTGAAAAAAATATTCTGGTGTGCAATGGTCTAAAACATTGAAATCAATAAATAGTAGCGCCCCAACTCAATTAACCGTATTAAACCGTATCAAACACGATGCATGAAGCTCGAGGACGGCAGCATGTCAAGCACAAGCTACTGGTACTGCACCACACATGAAGCACTCGCGGACGGCAGCGTGAAGGTGAAGCGCTGCTTCTAAAGTCTCGTAGTACTGGCAGTGCTACTGGAACAATGTACCGCAAGCAATGCACGTTTGCTCCAGGTAATCCGTTCCCTCTACCAATCAAGGCCAATGCCCATGCGCCGCCCACACCAAACTCGCCGCCGCTGCCTCACCCGCTGCTCTCCGTCTGCTCGCGTAACTCGTCGCTTTGGTCTCGTCCTCGTCGCAGCATGCCTCTCTGTAAGCATACGCCGTCCTCAATTCCTCCTCCACCCTCCCCCCCCCCCCATACCCCCTCCCCTACCCCCCCCCCCCCCCCCCCCCCCCCCCACCCCCGCCTGCGCCGACTAGCTCTAGTACCCATTGCCCCTGTTGAAGGAATATATTAGAGAGCGTAGCGATAGCGAGAGAGTCTCTGCTATGGGAATGATGTTGCGCCAGCAACTTGGTAGAGTTTTGGTAGCGTTTGCCTCTAAGGACTTTGTGAGAATTGAAGTAGCATTTGGGCCAAGTAGAATTGCAATATCAATTATCAAACACACAAGCAAACACAAACATATATAGGCAAGCAAGAGTTGCACAATTGTTGCGTGGCGCTGCGAGTAACCCAACCCACACGAAAGTGCTGTGCAGGTGGGTGAACGCGCCCCGCACATTTCCAACCCAACTCGGCACCGGAATGTCTCACCGTGCACGCTACTCCTGCCAACATAGCAAGTGAGCAGCGTGCCTCACAAGCAAGGCACCTACGACCCCCAAGACTCGTCATTCCTAGCACCGATTCCGCCGAGTTCGCTGCAGTAGCTCACAGTCACCCGTAGTCACTAATGACCGCCACCGAACTCGTGCGTCGGTGCCGAGTAGACTCAGTCGTTAGGCGCCGACCTGCCAAGTCAAAGGTCATCGAGGGCCCTTGCTGTCGTAGGGCCCTCTAACACTCCCCTGCCATACTACAGCAAGGCCCTTTATAATCACAGGGCATGCATACACACACACACACCAAAACAAAGGGATACACACAAACGAAACACGCTCAAAGTGTAAACACGCACCGCACCAGCCATGGATAGGCCATGGCACCATCCACATCATGGAGTGTCTAGTTCTTCACTCCCCTCACTCGAGAGCCGCACCTGCCCCACAGCCTCGAAGCAACGAGTGAAGGCGGGGAAATGCAATGCCTTTGTGAGGTAGTCAGCAGGCTGCTCGCTCGTAGGGATGTACTGCAGCTGCAGCTTCCTGCGGTTGACCATGTGCTGCAGCCACATGTGACGACGCTCCATGTGCTTGAGGCTCCCCTTGAGCCCCATGCCACCTGCCACTGAAATGGCGGAGGAGTTGTCCACAAAGAGAGTCGTGGGCTCCTCACTCCTCAGCAGTTGAAACTCTGCCAGCAGGAAGCGCAGCCTGCGCGCCTCCTTCCCAGCCTCCACAGCAGCAACGTACTCAGACTCAGTGGAGGAAAGGGTGGCGCAACGAATCCGCTGGCTCGCCCATGAGACAGCAGCACCCCCGAGCACGAAGACATAGCCACCTGTGCTGGTCCTGTTCTGCTTGTCCCCTGCATCATCAGCATCGGCGTAGCCCACCAGCTCCAAGGACTCCGGCCCACCACCAAACTCCAGCGCCACATCCCTGCTCCCCACCAAGTACGTCAAGCACCGGTCCAACTCCTTCCAGTGCTGATCACTCCGCACAGTCTGGCCCGACCCCAGCTTGCTGCAGGCGAACGAGATGTCGGGACGGGTGGTACAGGCCGCGAACTGCAAGGATCCCACCTTCTGCCTGTACTCCTCCTCCTGGCGAGACTGCCATCCCACATCCTCGAAGGTCTGCACACTGAAAGGGTCAGAGGAAAGAGGGGTGCGAGGCACTCGCAGCGGCTGCTCCCCGTCAAAGAAGCGCCTATGGACCTTGTCCACATAGGCCCCCTGGTGCAGCCACAGCCTCCTCGTGGGCCTGTCCCGAATCAGCTGCAACCCCAGATATTTCTCCACAGGGCTAATCTCCCGCAGCTGAAAGGCACTCTGCAGCAGGTCACGCAGCTCCGCTAGCATGCTCTGA